AAGACCAATCTATGGATTTCGGGTATGGATTTACAACGCATTTGCTGAAATCCGCGATACACAACGCTCACCACTGTGTTGTAGTGTGAACTGCGTGTCGCGGGAATCCACAGCCAAAAAATTTCGATAAAGCCTTGACGGTCCCTTTAAAGGCACACGAAAGTACAGGGTAAATCACTTGTTAAATAAAAAATATTAAAATATTTGATATTTTAATATCGATATTTATTTAATATATTTTAATAATATAGAGCGTCCAAAATATCCTCCGATAATTAAAAAAATTTCAGCGCGAAAAACGTACAGAAAATGCTTTTTATTGAACAAAGAAAAAGTCGTCGAAAACTTATTAGCGAAGAAAAACCCGGGTCCCCGTTGCCTGACGAAAAGGGGCATTTTAATAGCGTTTTACGCAGATTTTTTATATGAAAAACTTATAAAACTATTTGACACGGCTTTTTATAACCTTTTTAGTAAGCGTACGTTTATTACAATGAAAGATCAGGGTCAGTAAAGGAAGTTACCGGAATCACCTCCCCTCGCTAACGAACCAGAACGAAAGTGCAGAGATCAATTCTGGGCCCGGGGGCAGCGCGGCGGTCTGCCCCCGGGGGGCAAGCAGGCAGCGCGGATGGGTCGAGGCGGGGGCCAGCTGGCCGGGTCGTTTGTCTGCCAGCCGCGTGTGTGCGTGTGTCTCGCTCTGTGTCTGTGTGTAATCAGCGCGGCTTCACGCCGGGGCACACAGCCATCAGAGGCGGGTGGTGTAGGGCTGGGCTGGGGTGGGGCCCGCGTCGATGTCTCACGCCGTGTGCGTTCCAGGCGGGCCCGCTCTAGCCCAGAAGCGCCATTGATCGCGCTGCCCGCGTGCAGCCCCGTCCCGCCAAACCCTTGTGCCCCACGGCTACAGCGCTGCGACGTGGCGGGGCCGGCACAACGTGTGGCGCGCTGGGTCACGAATATTTTATCGACGCGCTGGGCGACCGGGGGTGGGTGGGAACTTGCGAGAGGCGGGTATCGTAACGTCACGCAAACGTCAGGTTAAAGCGATGGAACGTGCTACAGTACCCGCAAACATCTTCTATCTAAAAATCAGCCGTTGCAATCGGGCATATGGTCATTTTTCCGAAAATTTATTTTCTGCTTTCTAGGTGTTATTTTCTTTCGCCTGTTCGGCAAGCACTTTTTCAGTTTTTGCAAATTAGATAGCGGCGATAGAATTGTCAGATCAGCCTGATTTTTGATAAAGAAAATTTAGGAAAAACCTATTTTTAATGAAACGAACGGAATTCGACAAAGTCGATTCGATAGAGTTTGAATTTCTGAGCAAGTCTCAACTTTCAAAAACTGCTCAACAACTACGGTCGTCGAGAAAATCCTCTTTGAAAGCGGCGAGCTTGCCCATTTTCGTCAAGGCTTAATAAAATTTGAGCTTTGAAAACCTTTTTTCGAAGACCATTCCCGAACATCCGTTTTTGAAAGATGGGCCTCAGAATCTCAAGCTCTATCGAAATCCCTGCACCTAAATAACTAAAAACCTCGCCTTGTAACCTAAAAACCGAAAACTTACGTTTTAAAGACATCAGCAAGGTGATTTCCCCCGGAATTCTCGGCCTTGAGTCACGCATCTAAAAAAATCATGTAGCTTTCACTGGTGTGCCTATAACAACGTGTTTTTCCTGCTCACACTGTTGATAAATTATCTTTATCATCACAAGGCCCAACTATGGATTCACAAAGCTGCACAGTAACAAGAGAAGGGTACCCGACAGGAGAATGATTGGCGGAGGGGAAGGCATATTTTTGATCTAGAAGGATATTTCTATGGCTATGAGATCTCGGTCATATGCATATTCCGAAGAACCGGTGCGAGAGGCTTTTTTGGCGACAAAATCACAACATGGAGTTATTTAGTAGCGGTAGTAAATGGTTATTAAAGGGGCGTGGAAGGCAGATGATTCTAGATGATGAGAGTTCTGCTACAAGTCGTCGAAGAAGTGGGCGCTGTCCGGATGGCGTGCGAACGGGTCTCCTAAAGTCGGGTTAATGGCCCTCGTGTTCCCGCCTTCACTTATTGCCGTGTCTTCACCACTGTAGCCCAGCTCCTCGTCGGCGACGATCGGGCGTCGTTCTTCGGATAGTTGACGCTGAAGCCCGGTGCGGACACGCTCTGAAATTAATTAAGACTGCATTTTTGGAGCAGATCTGGTCCGTATCTCAGCAAAATCAGAGCCAAAAATTACCTGCAGCCGCATTAACCCGCTGCGCAAAAGCCGAGGTCCGCGCCTCGCGATTCTCAAGCCGGCTCCGTCGGCCTCGCTCCAGATTCACCAACGCTCGCCCGGATGTCACCTAAAAACTTTGTCATGAGTTTGAGCTCATGAAGCCCTACTTAAAAGATAAATTTAAAGCCACCCACCAGCTCCATCGAGAACTGATCATCCGCAACGTACTGGTCGATGCCCATCGCGTGGAGAAGCCGGGTGCCAAGTCTAGATCTTGTTGTTGATGAACTCCCTTAAAACCCACCTATAGTACGTGAGGATGCAAAAGACGATGATGGCCATCGGCAGGTAGATGTTGATACCCTTGGCGACGACGGGGAGCAGATCGAGATGGCCCATTAGCTGAAAAAAATCCGCTTAGGATGGAGAATAAATTAAATTACCCTTGTGAATTGCGTCTCGACGCCGAAGTTTTTCTGCTGTGTCACATGGGAGTCGAGGTGGATCATCCCGAGGAAGTTCAGGCAAATCGGAGGGGTGAGACGGCAGAGGAGCCTGAAAATACATAGGAATAATGTTCAACAATTAAAAAAGCGCGCTAGCTGCCACTCACATCCCCGAGAAGAGCAGACTGTTCTCATCGGTGTTCCCGTGGTTGTCCAGATGGTAGTAGCTGTAGATGCGCAAGCGGAAGATGGTAAAATACGCGCACGCGCACAGGTAGCCGACGACACCGATCGACAAAAGCTGCAAGAAAACTCGCTGGAGAAGGCTGGAAGCCAGATACCTGCGTGTATTTGTAGTGGAACCCATCGGCGGCCGCTTGGATGATCAGGGCAGCGGGGGATAGGGTTCTCGACGTGATGAAGAAGGTGCATTCCGACACCAGGATCAGCAACGTCATCCCGGCCAGCAGCAGCGAGAGCGCCTTGAATTTTTTCATAAAAGTAAGGTTGCAAACAACGAACCTGAGTGCATGGTTTTCGGGCCCGCACATACCAAAAGCGCCTCACTTCGGCGGGGACGGAACTTGGGGCCAAGGGCAAGGTGCCGGATTGCTCGGCTTTTCGAACCTCTTCTAGCCAGAGAGCCCGGTCCATGGTGGATCTGAAAATTGTAGGGGGGAAATGTCGAAAACACCGACAGCGAAAATGGCGAAATCCGAAAGTTTACCTCCATTGTGCCGCCGTTCTTTGGTAGATGTGGACAGTGTCGATGGCTTTGCTGTGAAGCCGAACCTAACGCAAAAAAAAAATGCTTTAAATACGTCTTAAACATACCAAATATCTCTCATCGGAAACGGCGCCCCTATCCGCTTCTCCCATGCTCTCAAAATCAGCACCACTTCTGTTCGGGAATAGCTCTTTGACGACCTAAAACCAAAAATGATCTTTTCAGCCGATTTACCTCTTCCGGGAATCTGCTGACAATTGTTTGAGCTTTCCCGCGTAAGGAGTGCTCGTTCTTGACAAGATTCAACACGGCTCTGGCTTCCCTAAAATCGTAAACTATGGTTTACGGAAATCTACTGACCTGTAGACCTCCTTCAGCGCATCCTCGGCCTCGTGCTTGTCCCCGGAGAGCTTGTTGACGTCGAAAAACGTCTTATTCAAGCGATACTCAGTGGCTGCAGTATGCCAGAGTTGTCGCGGCAGATCGACGAGCCCGTGGCCAAGCAGGACGACGAGCAACAGCAGACCCCACGTATTTGAGGCGGAGACCACGATGATGATCAGACTCTCCCTGAAAATTCGTGATGCTTTAGGATTTCTGGATATTCCATAGCTAAAGAAAAGAATTTTTCGAAGCGTACCGATTCAACGAGAGTCCCTTCATCGCCGCGTACACCAAGAATACGACAAAGATCACGAAGTAGGCGAGGTAGTACATTGCGTTGTTCCATAGAGACGCCTAAAAAAGCTACGGCTTTCAAAAAATGTAAAGCCTCACCTTCAAACGGCCTCCAGCTGAAAACTCGCCGGCTGTCACGTAGCTCTGCATCAAAGGGAGGGCGAGCCTAAAAAACGGGTACTTCCGCAATATTGGGGGGCGTACAAATCCAGATCTCTTTAGTAATGTCCTAGCAAGCATTTTTATGTTTTTTATAAATTTAGCTGGATTTCAAGTAAGAAACATTATTTCGAAAACCTAAAAACGCTTTAAAATGCGAAATTTGGTCGAAAAATCGAGCTGTTTGTATTTTTTTCAGACGAACTTCGAAAGCAGACGTCTATGAATCGTAAAAAAGCAGCGTAGAAAACGTTTCTCTAATTATAGACGCGAATTGGATCCAAACATACCAGCACAAGATTTGCGCAGTCCAGTAGACCACCCGCCACATGTAGAGAAGCGCATCGTTCGGGACAAGACCGCCCGGCTCTTCGCATTCCAAGCTAAAATATATATGAATAAATATATAAAAAATAATAGTTTTTTTAATTTTCGGGGGGAAATTTTTGGGGGGGGAAAAAAAAAATTTTTTTTTTTTTTTTGTTTTTTAATAAAAAAAAAAAAAAAAGGTTTTTTTTATTTTTTTTATAATTTTTTAATAAAAAAAAAAAAAAAAATATAAAAAAAATAAAAATAAAAGGTTTTAAAATATAAAAAATTTTTTTTTTGGTTTTTTTTTTTTTTTAAAATTTATATTTTTTTTTTTTTTTTTTTTTTATTTGGTTTTTTTTTTAAAAAGGGATATTATACAGTTTTAGAAAACAAAAAAAAAAAAAATTAAAAAAATTTAAATATTCCCCAAAAAAACAATCTTCTTACGTGACATTGGTCGTCGTCGAATTCTCAAAAATGACACGTTGCGTTTGACATCGGTTGTAAAGGGTCTCAAAAATCTGAGTACAAAAAATACAAAAAAAAGCTTACTATCGATACATCCAATGGCAGCACGAAGACGATGATCAGCGAGAAGTACCAGGCGACAAAAACCGAGACGCTCACCGAGGCACGCTGTCGTTTGTAAGATCCTTAAAGGTCAAAATTTAGCATGCTAGACGGATATAAAATTTAAACTCAGATTTCGTGCATTAAAACTTGCCATATTTGCCGATGAGGTAGACGGTGAGTAGGCAAATGGCAGACAGCGCAAGCGTCAGGGGAATGTAGCCCATCGCCGGACGTCAATTAGGGCATCTGAAAGGATGGCATTAATTTGAGAAAATTAAATTAAAAAGAAATAAAAATAAAGAAAAAAAAGAGGCTGAGGGTTTTAAAAACCTATTATCGTCTGTTTCGAGGCGAGGACCCGGAAATAAACAAGTTTCAGACAGCAAGAAGCGCGTATTATACGGGAAAACCACTGATTCAAAGTAAGATAAAAGTGGAATATCTAAAACTCAAAAATTCTTGATGAAGCTCTTTCAAAACTCCTTTAATTTAAAGTGAATATATGCCAAAAATAAATTAAGTAAGTTTTACGAAAAAAAGCTGAATTCTCGGACGAATTTTAGTAGATACAAATAATAAATAAACCCCTGAGGGGATGGGCTTTTTGGGGAGTGCTCGTCGTGGCTGGGAGAATCAATAGGGGGGGCAGTCGGAAGGAGGAAAAGAGAGGAAAGAGCCGCAAACGCAAAGAGGCAAAAGCACCACGTGGGTCCAAAACGGGGCCCTAAAAGTTTATCCTCATCGTAGCTCTGCAAAACGCCTACAAAGGCATTGATTTTAAAGCTGAAAAAGTTTCAAATACTTCAAAAAATTACGAAACACGTTTTCTGGCCCGAACTTGCTGTTCTAAAAAGTTGCTAGTTATTCGATTTTTTTAGGTGAAAAAATTCTCAGCTCTTTGGCCCGTTTCCATTTCCGCTATGGCCTTTCTGACTTGAGATCTCCAGCTCAGGCTGCAGAAAACTCGAAAGATGGGGGCTTTCAAGCCAGAAAAAGCTCACGATTCCTTTAAAATTGCGACGAATGAAGGCAACATTTTTCTCGGCATCTTTGCTGGCCTAAAAAATTAGAACTCACTTTGCTCAGTTTCATCCATGTTGAGTTAAAAATCATAAAAAAACGTATATTTAAATTAATCATCATGTCTAAGATTAAATAAAATTGTTGGTCTGGTCCAGACGATTCCAGCGCGTAAATCTCGCGCTTGAAGCTCCAAAAATTCTAGTAAATGTTAGAAATAGACAACTTCGTAAATTTTATTTTATTTTTGGAATCTAAAATTCCAAGGAGCCATTATTCCACTAAAAATCCGGCATAAAATGGTTTCCCCCGAATGGTCGTCGTTCATTGCATCAGCAGGCAATATGCAGAGCAGCGGCAGCCCCCAGCCGGCTGATATCAATGAGAAAATCAGGCGTGTGGTGTGGGGGTGCCCCCGAGCAGAGAGGTCAGACCACCATTTGCAACGACATGTGAGCACCACACGCCATCTCGTGTACCTTGACCATGTTTCGTAAAACCCTGCGCCGAGTTTGGCCGTTCGATGTAGACATGGGTTGCGTTTGGAGGAAGGGTCCAATGGCTCAGGGTCGCTCACGAGTTGCGCGGTGGTGCATTGGCACTGGATTGATACAGACACCAGACGCCGCCCACCCTAAACTGCCTCCAGCTCTGCCCGCGCCTCATTTTATTCTAGACGCTGCTATACGATTCGTTGGCGTTGGGCTTTTGTATTGGTCTGCAATCGACTCGTTTTCGCATGAAATTTGGGTTAGAGCAAAAATTAGAAACCTTCGAATCCGCTCAGTTTGACCGTTAAAATCATAGCGCCATCTAAAGGGCTTCATTTCTAGATTCTAGACGCTTCTATACGATTCTTTGAGTAGATTTTTGAGTAGTTTTCTGGAAATCCGGGTTTTGGTTTGAATTTGGGTTTGAAAAAGGAACCTTCGAAACCTCTGATTTTCCAAAATTAGCTCGTTTTGATCTTTAGGATTAATTTTTTTTTTCTCTTTTCTCTACGGCCCCTTCTTCTTGACAGTTTAAAATTTACGCGCGAAGTAAGGGGATCGGGAAGTTGAAGCCTAACTGAATACAGCGTCAAAATGATTTTTGTTCACTTTTTAAAAGCTTCTCCATCAAGTCTAAAGTTGCCGGAAACAACATCGTTTCAAAACGGCTAAAAACTATGCCTTGGGACAAATTCCGTATTTTTTTATGAACAAGGTCCAAACTTCATCCTAAAAGTACATTGAATCACCACCTCCTTGCTTGCACCTTGAAATTTGGAGCCTCAACTCCCCACCCCCCGGGGCCGTAAAAACGAATTCCTGGGCCCGCGAACGTGTGACCCGGGCTATCAGAAGCGGTCATAAATTCTGGCAACTTTTAGCAGGGGGAACACACGAGACAAAATTCATCTAATTCATTTCTATGGGCCCAGGTGATAGCTTAACCTGTAGTCTCGTGACTCTCCCTTTTCGAAGATCTAATCGGAACGAGTATAAAAAACCGAAACCCTACCAGAATCTCAAAAATCGGAATCTAAAAAAACCAGAATTTCGCATTTTCATCACTCCGAATTTTGAGAACCTCGCATTTTCATAACATTTTCGGGATCCTGCTATCCGAGATTACGACTTTCGAGACCTTGTTAGGTTCCCTGAAACACCCATTGACAGCCAAAAGCCAAAAAAATGTCCCCAAAACCAACTTTTCTGCTGTTTGTTGGTAGCAAAACCCGTTTCCCCCTCCAGCACGTGGTTTACAGCGCTAGGATCCCCCCGACCACCGGGCTGGTGTTTCTCCCAAAGATTGCAGTTGGCGATCAGCTCCCCTCACCGCGATGCTCTTTTTATCATCCGGCTAGAAAGCGGAATTTGTTTAGGTCCCCGGTCACAAAACGGCTATAAAACGTTGTTTTCCATCGTGCTATACTAAATTTACGGCCATTACCGTTCGGGAACTACCACGTGGGTAAAAACTTGGGTTTTCAGTCATCGTTAATTCTCTGAATCTGGATTCATTGTTTTAAAAACGCTAGCTCTACATATTTCTGGTTTTAAAATCGCCTTTGGCCCGCTTGTCTTCCCTAAAAACTCCTAGAAAATTAGCACATTCAAAAAGAGCTAAACTTTCACAATTATTTTTGAAAAATATCCTTTTGTGCGCTTGTTCGCTTTACCAAAAACCTCAGAAGAATATCTAAGAATTCGAGATTGGTTCAGGTTGATATTTCTTTTCAAATCAGATTTTCGCTTACTCGCTTTGTCTAAAAACCAATACAAAATTCACAAACAAAAAGGTTAGAATCAGAAATCTCCTTAAGGAAAATCTCGCTTTTCTCTACGCTATAAAATCCATAGATTCAAAAAGTGGAAGTATTTTTAAAACTTCGGTATCCCTAAAACCCGCCTAAAATCTTTCTAATTTTAACGCTCGCAGAATTGTACTATAAATATTTTGGGCTCTTGTAACCCGGCGGATTTTGCGAAAGTTGACAAACTCCCAGATCCCAGGAACCCGTTTTCCTAAACAAACGCCATTGTCCAGGATTCTCGAGCGGAAAAAGAAGGAGATTCTCTTCCTTGCATTTCTGCGCCCATCAATTAATTCGCCCTTTTACCGAGAAAACCCCGGGGTGGTGATCGTTGCCAACAGATCGCCCCGGCGTATCCATCCCATTCGATCACTTTCCTTTTTGTTAGATGGGTGGACCGGCGTGGTTGCCCCACGTGTGGTTCCATTAGTCCCATGGTCCTTTTTCTAATGCGCTTTCCGTTTGTTGTTTGGATTTCTCATGGGGTCGATGGGTCGCTGTCACTTCTCCATACTAAGGACAAATGATGCCTCTTCTTCTCTAAATGTCTTTTTATTCTTCTTCGTTTTCTACTTTCAGAATCGAGTCCCCAACTCTAACGTTTTTACTTATTTTTCAAGTTATCGAAAAAACTCTAGGAACCCTCTAACTGGAGCGCCGTCTGGATGCTATTTGGAGCAATCGACCAGGGTACCTCGTCCAGCCGTTTTCTCGTTTTTGAAGCTAAAAATGGAAATCTTATTGCCAGCCATCAGGTGCGTCAAATTGACAAATTTTCCTTTAGGATCCACTTTTCCAATAAAAATGGAAACTGTTGGACGCATTCTTGAACATTAAAAAATTCCAAGTTGTTATTAAAAATACAAGAAACTATTTTTCTAGCAAAAATTTAAAATTTTTTTCCAAGTTTCGAAATAGCTATACTTTAAAATTGAATGAAAAACACTAAAATCAACAGGAAAAATTAGGTTTCCTCACAAGCGCTCGTTTAGATTGAAGTACGACAGCAGTACCCCCACCCGGGATGGGTAGAGATGTGCCCAAAAGAGATCTATGATACTGTTGTCGAATCGATTAATCAGGTCTGTTGGCCAACTGCCTTTTCCAACAACCGGATAAATTAAAAACAAGCTTTACTTAAAAGTAAAAAAATCCTTAAAAAACCTTAAAAAATCCAAAAGTTTCTCTAGGTTGCTGATCAACTAGCCGAAAAGAACATCCCGATTTCCGACCTCAAATGCGTAGGGATAGCAAACCAGCGAGGTATTAAAAAAATAGCAGCTATTATTTTTTTCCTAGAAACATCCGTGGTTTGGGATCGAGTCACCGGGGAGCCCCTTCATAATGCGATCGTTTGGTTGGACACTAGAACAGCGCTGCTGGCCGAGGAATCGATCCAGCACACCGATACAAAGTGCGATAAATGCAAATTGACGGATCTGCTCCATTAGCTAAAGAGCACCCCATTTTCCAGATGCCAAGATCATTTCAAAACAAAAACGGGCCTGCCGATCCACCCCTATTTCTCGGTGCTGAAACTGAAATGGCTGCTTCAGAACGTGCCCGAGGTTCAGGAATGCCACAAAAAAGGTGAAGCAATGAAGGAAATCTAATAAGAAGTTCTAGGCAATCTAATGTTTGGAACAGTGGATTCGTGGCTATTGTGGAAGTTCTCTGGGGTTCACGCTACGGATGTTACAAATGCCAGCCGAACGTTGATGCTTGATCTCCACAAAGTGAGTTAGAAAAAAGAAATGGGCTTTTGAAACTCAAAATTAATCTAAAAATGCTTTTAGCGAAAATGGTCAACAGAGCTCGCCGACTTTTTCGAGGTGCCCATCGATATCCTGCCCGAAATTCGATCGAGCGCCGAGGTCTACGGCGAATTTCTTGATGGTAGGTGAAAAAATTATAAGAATCTCTGCAAAACTCGCATAATCCGTATTTTACTTCTACAAAAAGCACAACACAGTTCCAAGAAAAAAAAAATTTTAAAAATTAAATTAAAAAAAAAAAAATTATAAAAAAAAAAAAATTTTAAAAAAAAAAAAAAATAAAAAAAAAAAAAAAAAAAAAAAAAAAAAAAAAAAAAAAAAAAAAAAAAAAAAAAAAAAAATAAAAAAAAAAAAAAAAGGGAAAAATTAAAAAAAAAAAAAAAAGGAGGGAAAAAATGGGGGGAACCTAATTCAGGTCCGCTAAAAGGTATCCCGATTTCCGGCTGTCTAGGAGATCAACAGGCCGCGCTTGTTGGGCATGGTTGTCTGCACAAAGTGAGACAAAGTTAGTTATATTAATTTCAAAAAATCAATAGGGCGACACGAAAAACACCTACGGAACCGGGACGTTCATGCTGTGCAACATTGGCCATGAGCCGATTCGAAGCAAAAGTGGTTTGCTGACGACCGTTGGCTACCAGGTACATTCAGAATTCAATATACAAAGCTCATAACAGTTACAAAGGTTTTCCACAATTGTTCGTTTTGGCTAAAAAATGAAAATTTCTAAATTTTTTAAAAATAATTTCCTACAATGAAAAACACTATAACATACAACTATCGCCGAAATAAAAATTAGCCCCCCTCTCGCTAACTCGGCCAAATTATAGTTCGGTCGTACCGCTCCAGTCGTCTACGCCCTAGAAGGGTCCGGGAGCATTGGTGGAAATGTCATTCGGTTCTTACGCGACAACTTTGGCTTCATAAAGGTAAAAATAGCACGAAAGAGCCTTAAAAACTACGTACTACTTCTAGAACGCGTCTGAAGTTGAGCCACTCTGCCGGACTGTCGACTCGACAGAGGGTGTTGTTTTCGTACCCGCCTTTACCGGGCTTTACAGTCCATATTGGGACCCGAGCGCTAGAGGTAAGAAAAACTTAGCAGCACGTACATAAAAAACCCTAGGGACAATTTGCGGCCTCACGCTCAGCGCGAACCGGGCCCACATAGCGCTGGCCGCGCTGAAGGCCGTGTGCTTCCAGAGTAACGAAATGCTAGAGGCGATTGAGCAGGACATGGGACAGACAAAGATTACTACGCTGAAGGTGGGTTGGCTAAGAAAAGGCTCGATTCTGAAGAATTCTGGTAAATACGAAAAATTAGGTTGATGGCGGCATGACGGCCAATACACTTTTCAACGAGCTACAGGCAGATATTATTGGGAGACGAATCGACACTCCGAGGTAATTCTAGAAACACCTTAAAAATTAAACCAGGTTTTTGAAGGATAATAAGTACGAAAACGACCTTTTTAAACCTAGAAAAAAATGCCAAAACTATAAAAAACTCACCAAAACCATTTAGCATCCACGAAGTGTCGGGCTGGGGCGCTGCCGTGGCGGCTGCTATCGGTGCCGGGCTCTTGAAGGCAGATGACCTCGAGATGAAGCAGACGGTAGCGCGCCTCTGAAAAATCTAACTTTTTCACAGGTCCGCTCCTTCAAGCCACGCATAAACGACGCGGAACGGTGCCATGAGATGCACAGATGGCGCGAAGCCGTGAACAGGGCTTGCGGTTGGGCGGTCTACGAGGAGACATAGGAGAGCACTACAATAAGAAGACTATCAAATACCGGTTGAATGCGTCAAGCATTATTTTTGCGGACAAACTGTGCCTTGAAAATGTGATAAACTGGGGCCCTTTCGTTGCCCTTAAATGATTAGGTGAATAAAGTTCTATGAAAAAAAGAAAATGGCTTTTTAAAAACGCACGAAACTAATCTATCAAGTGCAATTAAATACAATTTAAACAAATGTGCAATTTTTTGTATCACATTTTACAACTTTAGAAAACTAAAAATTCTCGAGAAATCATTTCCGCCGCGCTCCAAATTCCACTGAACCCGCAGGGTGTATTTCGGAAATACGCAGCATTTTTATAAAATTTTGTAGCTTTTGAAATTTTCTCGCTTTTCTCTTGTTTCCTTCTCTTTTTTCATACTTTACCACGGAAATTTAGCGAATGGCGGAGCGTACGCGCGCGGACCCGCGGGAGATGAAGCGCCGCGAGAGCCATCTGCGTGAAGCAGTGCGGCACCGCGAGCTGCGCGACCCGTTCACCTGGGAGTATCGATGGAAGGTTGTTGTCATATGGCTTTTTTTTAGTATTTTTTTAGATGGCCGCGACGATTGGGGGCTTGGGAGCCGCGTCCGCGCACGCCTACAATATCTGGACGCGCAAGCCGTGGTACTATGGTCCGTTTTTACTATGAAATTGATGATTTTGATATACCTGATCATTTTAAGAAAATACTAACATCTCTCGTTTCAGCGGCTTTCCCTCGGCTCGCCGCGATCTCTGCGCTCGGCTACTTGGGATACTGTGCCGGTGTACTTCGCGAACACCACAACAAAACGCGCGACGCCATCGTCGAGCACTACATTAGCCTCCATCCCGAAGATTTCGATCATATTAAAGATCGTGAGCTCTTATTTCCATTTCCTACTTCCTAATTTTAGGCAATGGGCGTCCCTGGTCGAACGTCCTTCTCCCCTGGTACCCGCATCGCTCGCAATACACGAAATATGACGCGAAATAATCCGAAACGTATGAGCTCATTTTCTTGCCTAGTTGTATAGATATATTATCAAAGTTCACGAACAAATTTGTTTAATTTTACCTCGACTTGTGCCCGTCTTGATATTATTGATCTTCATAAAGCTTTATTTCTCGATCATGCCCAAACAAAAACGGTAACGAGAGCCGACAAATAACTGAGATCACAGGTCGAAATGGGTGGGACTTTGTGGTGAGCCGGGGGAAACGGGGTTGGAGACGGCATCTCCAAAAAAGCTATTCGATAGTCTGATTGCAATTGATATTCATGAGATCTTCTTGGCGATTGGACCCGGGGTTTTAGCGTAGTAATTCACAGAAATGAATTTGGAGATGTAGTCGCGGACTGCATAGTAGCCGACGTAGAACAACGCCGCTTCGATGTATTCGGCAAAGACGTTTTCGCTCCAGAAGGCTTGATCGACGCGGGGCTTTCTCTGAAAATGGATATACGTTGAAGGTTGCGCCTCAAACCTTGATCCTAGCGTAGGGGCCGATTGCCGGATTCATGATAAATCCGTGAAGCACCGCCCACCATGAATCGTGCGTCTCCAGCGTGTCGTAGTATTCAGGAGCGAGAGCGCGAAGCTGGAAACTTTTGTATAAAGCTTGCAAGCTTATATTACCTTTGGCAGATCGCGGCCGGGAATATATGGGAAGTCGTGGTGCTCCATGTGGTATCCGACGTTGAACGTGATCAGGTTGAACCAGCCATAGTAACTAAAATTCCAGCGATAAATCGAGGTTCGTAGAGAAGTCAGGGTACTGGAGGAGCTCAACCCTCACCTGTACGTCTCCTGCTTGTCGCTGAACGAGTAATGTTCGGAGATGAAGTGAAAGGCGCTGGGGTGTAGACCCAAGGCTAAAATATTGGATATGTGTCGCAATTAACTACAACGTTACCTAGAACAGTACCGCCTAGCAGATAAAACAACGACTTCCATCCAAACGTGAACAAGATGAAAAGGTCGAACGCTATCTAGGAAATTTTTTTTGGAAAACTACATTCAGCTACCTGGATCGCAAAATTGAGGATTTCCAAGTCGGTGGGCGCCTTTTTGTAGATGATAAGAGGGCGGAAGGCGTAGAAAAGAGGCTAAAAGCCGGGTTTTTAGCATAGGAAAGAAACGTACCTGGAAGAACAGCCAAAGTAGCTTGCGAGCCGGGGTGGTAAAGAAAAGGCCTTCAAGTCGAGTCGGCACATCCGTGTCCAAGCCGTCTTCAGCTAAATATGGGTCCAAAATATTCCGTCGTAGAAGTAAGACGCGTACCGAGGTACCGATGGTGTTCGACGTGGTATTTCTTGAACGAGATGGCGATGGGGACGGCGATTGGCAGGTTGGCGAACATGCTGAAGAAGCGGTTCTATAACAATTGGAGGGTTAGGAAGCCTTCAAGCGGATTAGTAAAAAACAAGGCTGTCAAAGCCGTCAAATATCTCTCACCGTCAGCGGGCGCTCCTGCCCAAAGGCCGTGTTGTGCGAAATGTCGTGGATGGCCAGTGTCAGTGCGTGGTTGATCATTCCGCCGCAAAAATACGCCATCAGCAGCACGAGCAGGAACGGCTCATCTAAAATCCGCAATTTTACAGGAAATTCTCCCGAACCTTGTATCAACCAGCAGAAGAAGATCTGCACGGCGACCATGGCCGCCACGACATACTTGAAGCTCGGGTCGACACCGAAGAGCTACAACATTGCCATGATTGCCAAGTGGTCTTGTTCAGCCCCGCAAGTTGAGTCATTGATTTTTGCAACTGGGTGGGGGCCATTTGTTTACCGACTGGCCCTAGCGCGTGGACGAAAAACGGTTTCTTTGGAGAGTGCGGGACCAAGACCGCAGATCGGCACGAAGGTCAATGGGTTCGTGAGAAAGGATAAGCTTTCAACAGCGAAGGCCTGATTTGAAGCAAGCTATGCTCTCTTGGTGCTTTCGCATTATCGGGGGAGGAGGGGGGCGGGGGTTTCCATAACTCTCGATATACCTAGTAACGTAATACCAAGTATTTTGTTTAGTAAAGTTTCCATATATTTCTAGCCGAAAATTTTTCTAAAAAATAAATTTAGGTAGAAAAATCGATAGTTCTTGGATTTTTTTAATCAAGTATTTAAAACAATTGCGTTTAGACCTAGTAAAAGCCACTTACGCAATTTACACTAGAAAAACTGGATGTTACGGTTATTTCGGCCCGTCACCCTGATAATGCGAAAACACCGTTCTTTTTTATAGGTTCCGGTTCCGAAATTCCGGCAGAGGGAGAGAGAGAGAGAGACCGAGAGCGAGCGAGAGAGATTGAGTGAGAGAACCTGATCGAGAAAACAAAACTCACCTTCTTCACTTCGGGGTACTTCTCGGCGATGACCCGCCTCCGGTCCATGTGCGGCTGCTCGGTGAGGGTCCATATGAAGTCGCTGCGGGAAACCCTTTGGCCCATCTTGGCCGCTCCCGATTCGCTTTCCGGTTACGTCTTGGAGGTGGCGACGGGAACGAGACCTAAAAGAAAATAAATATAAATGTAAAAATAGCGGAGAAGAGAGAGAATCGAAAAATCCGGTTGATCATATCGCACTTGGAAAAATAAGAAAAACTGGTCAAGGATATTTTAGCTCATCCCTTTTCGGGTTTGCAAAGTGGCAGTTTCCGGGATAAATAGGGGTGGAACTGATTGAGAGAAAGCGCCCTTTGGTGTGCTTTTCCGTGTTTTATTACATTTCCCCGGGCCGACTGTCAACACGGTTTTACCGGTGGTGAATAACAAGGCGCATTATGAAATGTATTTCGCATGGCAAGTGAAGGTACGTAAGTTATGTTAGGCAAACGAAATACATTCGGAATGCTCCTGCGAGCCTGGGCGCGCCCTCATCTTGACATGTGCTCTATTGGCGCAGGGATCAGTCAGTTTCGAGTTGTAAGAAACTTTTACACGTTAATTTGAGGAATGTTTTTGAGTTGGGGAGTAAGATCTATTTTTATTTATAAATCGTAAAATTTTTTCAAACTAAATGGCCGAAATCTAGGACTTTTTCAAAAATTACCTCATTTTTCTAATCTTTAAAAATGGTTTTATAATAAAAAAAAATCGAAAATTGTTCGATATCCCTCTAAAACTCGATTATTAGCGAAAAGCCGGCATAACCGGAAAGTCAATGTGGAGCCAGTCTGGGTCAACGTGGTAGGGTCCCCTTATGGATGGAGGGCTAACGGGGCAGCAGTGGTTAGTAGAGGGGGCGGTCACTGTGTTTTGTTGATATTTGCTAACACACGTACGAGACGTCCCCAATAGCAAAGAAATTCCACCGGCCTTGATCTTTCCACGTCAATTTGACACGCATGAAAAACGTTAAATGTGGTCGATTTAAAACACAGTTAAAAATCATCTAGAATCAAAATAAGGCCCCGAATGGACGAATAAAGCAGGCAGTCCCGCGATGCCGCCTCGTGATCCCCGTCTTTTTCCCAGGGCCCGTCCGGAACGCGTTTTTCCTAGCAACGCAACAAGTATAGGGGGTGAGGGGGGAGAAGCCCTTGGTATTCGGTCCCCAGTAACTGTCACTAGGCAAAGGCGCGATCTGGGGGTCCAATTTGGTGCTTGTCGGCCGGGGCGCTGGTTTAGGCTAATTGCCGGGCACACAACAGTGGCACGTTCGCCAAGTACTCGTGCTAAATTTTTGGGGAATTTAAAAGGACGAATTAGCAGGATGGGATAAATTTGATCGGATACAAAGGGTAGATTTTAGAGGAGGAAATCGGTGGTAAAGTTGTGGACTTCAAAAAATTATTTCGGAAATTATTGAGCGAGAACGGTCGAACAGCGCAAACCTAGATTTTTTTTATACAAAGCGGATGCGTTTGCACGTTATTTTTAACAATCCCTGAGCATACAAATTTACGAATTTTAACAAAAAATTTAGTTTTAGGTCGAAAAATTTCTTTTTTTCGACCCAAAAAGACCAAAATGTCGACTTTTTCGAGAACTTCACTAACTTTAAAAAAAGTTTTTCTATTTAAATCTAATTACAACTGTGTAAAAACAATATAAAAACACCTTACATTCTATAAATAGGCCAGCTGGGACTGCCAGGAAAAGAGACCCTAAATAGGCAGTTGGCGGATTTCCAGGACGACTCTCGGCCCAGGGGATTGGCTGCTTGTTTGTCAATGGTCGGCGGAATGGGCTCGGGAATCCCCCAATTTTATGTTTCAAAAACCAATCCTTGCTCAACGGAACTGGGCGGAACCTAAGCTAAGCGTAAGTCTAAGCCTGGGTCTCAGCTAAGCCTCAATAATGCGAAGTAACAAAATCCATAAAAATCCGATAAACGTGTCGAGCATTGCAAAAGCCAATCGAATGATGCAGCTGCGCGCTGCGGGGGTCGTTCTGTTGGCTTAGGGGGGAGGAGAAGCCGCGGAATGGCGGAAGAAGCGAAGGCAAATAGGATCCCTTTCACAGCACCGCCCCCCATCACCGACTCGTCATTTTTTTTCCGGCAGGGCAAGTGAATCACGGGATGCACAGTTTAGTTTTGCAAATGTGGTTGTAACGGTGTGAAACATGGGGTCGGTGTGAAGCTGGAAATTCAGAATTTCTCCTAGGCGCGTGGATAAACCGATACTTTTCGACGAGGCGCGCCTGGTAGATAAGGTTTTATTTCGACGCGAACGGGCCGTTAAGCCGAACAGTCAACGGGTATTATTGCTTTCCCGTGGGACCGCAACGATCGCAGTTTTGACGTTGTATGAAAAGCCTTATAACAGCTGAAAAGGCACGAGTTCTCTAAACAAAAACCTCCAAAGGTTTCCAAACGACAATCTAGCCGTGGCCCACTGTACGACGCCCCAAAAATAAACAATGATCTTTGGGCGGTTCCCGGGCCCTGCGGTTGACTCAGCGCGCAACCACAACTCCACACAAGCACCGCGGGGCCGGATCGCCAGAAATCAGAGCTGGCTGGCTAGCTGGTGCCTGGCAACACGTCGTTTGGGGGCATTTATCGGCAAGGTATTCAAGCTCGTCCTGTAATGCCCTTATCTTAGATAAACCCCGCGCGCTGGTGATTCACTGAGAACGGGGTGACAGCGACGAGCTAGGCGGAGAGAGTACTAAAAGTGGGGTGACCTTTCAGAGTGAAGTTTGATGGGCTGCGTGAATACGATACGGGGCCAAATAGTCGCTAACCTTGCCTTTTGCAAACTTCGTCTTGGAACGCTTCGCCGCACGACTCGTTGCCAAGCTCGACAACGCCCCCGCGGATCCTAAGTAAAAAATTCAGTTCGCCTCCATCAACTACACAAAGGAAAGTATCAATGTGTTGTCAACCAATCCGCACATAAAGACCAAGGCAAAATTGCCAAAAAAAGTTTATTCCAGTCAGGTTAGTACGAGGAAGACGAAAAAATCAGATCAAGTGGTGACAATTGCTCGAGTCGTTTCACTGCTGGCCGGCCAGCTTCATCCCGCGCAGCTTGCCCTCGATGTCGTTGAGGGCGGCGTCGCAGATGGCGCGGAAGGAGAGCCAGAGCACGGCCTTCTCGCTCAGCTGCATCGTGTTCGGGTCGACCGGGGAGACGGGAGCGACGGGCTCGCGGCCCTCGACGCTCGGATCGGCAGGCTTGGGGGCGGGGAGCATGGGGATGACGGCCTTGGCCGAGGGCACCGGGGTGGGCAACTAGAAAGAGAGAATTATCAATGAAAATTGAGATTTGTGGCTTACCCGCACCACATCGTTCCATTGGCCACCGAAAGGCGCCTCCAGCTCGCCAGACTCATCGATGAGCACGGGCGAGTAGGTGAGCTCCGGGGCCGGGCGCTGCTGGCCGATGCACGAGCACAGCGAGTCGGTGTTCAGCGACGAGGAGAAGAGGGCGAACGAGGGCTCGGCAGCGGCCACCAGGTCGTCGCACGAGGCAGAAGCCGAGGCCTTGATGGTGGATGGCTCGGACTCGGCGAGCGTCTCGACCTTGGTCTGGGCGCTGTAAGCCGCCAGGTAGACCCTGAAATTTGAATAGGTTCCGAGATACAGAATGTTCATCTACCTGACGTAGTCACAGGTGCTGCACTGGCACTGGGTGGTGGCGGGGGCCTGGTCGATGCTCTGCACCTCGGACGCCTGGCGCAGGCACGTCTCCGACAGGGGGAACACGGCGGACAGGATCGACGACGACGAGCGGGCGAACAGCCGCGAGAAGTCGACGCTCACTTGGGTGAGGGAGCTGGACGGGGGCAGCGAGTTGACCGACGGGTTGCACTGGATGCACAGGCGGGAGGGGGCTGAAAAAGAACGTCATCTCAAAGGAAGATTCCGATAAAAGGACGGTAACAATTAGCATTTTGAAATTACCCACCAGGGGAAAAGATGGGCTCGATGGGGGTCTGCGAGCCGGTGTCGAGCGACGGGGCCGCGGCGCCGTCACGCAGAATCTCGTCCCATTCGGCGTTAATGAGGAAGTAGGCGCCCAGCTTCTCGGCACGACGCATCGAGGCCACCACGTCGGCAAAAGTCACGGACTTGGCAGAGGAGTCAGTAGTCATCATTGTTCGAGGGTTAGTTCAAGTTGATTGGCCCCTCGAATCGGCCGTTTTTATACGAGAATTCATACGCAAAGTACGGTCCACTTCCGGATGCGTTCGGTCGTCCATGCAAATCAGCTTTCAACCGTCCATGCAACTTTCTTGTCAAGCCCACCTTTCTATGCAACCCCACAAATTCTCATACTTGAGCAACTCTTTATACCGAGGTAGCAGAAACACATAACTTGAATAAAGTGACAATTTTTAAAGATGGCAAAGAGATCTAGTGGCGCAAATTGCAGTCTTTTGTACAAAGTTTACCAAATGGTTCAATTGGAGGCGGAGCTGGCGCTCGGTTCATGGGACTTCTCCTTCCACTCCTTCATCTTGGCGGTGTACTTGGCATACTCGTCGGCGGCCAGTTTCGTGTATTTCTTCTTGTCCGCCGGCTTCAGCTCGGCCCATTTGGCTTTGTACGTCGCAAAGTCTCCCTTTTGCCCTAAAATATTCCTTTGGCAAATAAACTTCGGTTCGTTAAAAAATCAGTTGAAAGTGGCTCACCTTCCTTGTGAGCTTCGGCCGCGACATCTTTGACAAAGAGGGCATAAGGGCCGCCTGGATGCTTGGGGTAGCCAGACTTCTCGCGCTCCTCACGGACTTGCTTCCTAAAAAGAATGTCAGTAAAAGGAAAGTATCGTACTTGAACTGGCGCTCGGCCTTTTCGTGCTTCTTATTCAAAGCCTCTTCCCGCTCGGCCGGGCTCATGTTTTCCTGGGCGCGGCGTCGTTCTTCAGTCAATTCCTTCGCACGTTGAGCGTAGACCTCCTTCTTTGCGGCATCTAGCATCTTCCATTGCCCGGCCGACTTCTTTAGCAGGTCTTTTGAGGCCTCATTCGCTTCCCTGTGCTGCTGAAAAGCAGATAATTTGAAAGACGAGCGGTTTGACCTTGCCTCAAGCTGCTCTTTCACATACAGGTTGTAGGCGCTGACGGCCGCCTTTCTGATCGGCTTGGCGGCTGGCGTTCTGAGCCGAAATCAGGATGAACAGTCACAAGCTTACCCAGTTTTAGCTTGGGTCGACGTGGCAAAGCAGCGAGTACCGTTGCCAATCGCCAAATTTACAAAGTTGCGGAACATCGTTCTACAAAAACGGCTAAATAATACGTTGGCATCCAGTACAGAATTCTCGTGCCACAAATACCCGGCGATATTATTAACATGTGTTTCACATTCAACTACCAGATACAACGGTTTTAGCATAACATCTTTATTCACCGGTTGAGCAAAATATTTATATTTATAAACATCTATTTGTTTCCTAGTAGAGCCGTTCGAGGTCCTCATCTAAAGCAAAAATAGAAAAAGAGGAACTTCTAATAGTACCGTTAATGGCCTCGTTTCCACGATCGCGGTCGATGGCTTCGATGCGCCGCTGCTCGTCCTCGTTTTCGGTGTGCTGATGGAGTTGACAAAGTGGCGGGAGTCTGGAAAAAATCATAGAAAAATTTTAGGTTAGCTTAATTACCCGAAATGGTCATAGTTGATGTTCACTTGACGGCAGACATAGCACATTGTCGTTCTGCACCGGTAACAGGTCATCTTGTTGCAGCCATCCATCTATAACATCTTGCGCTGAGAAACAGGAAGGACGAAAATTACCTTTTGAAAAGCCAGATCGCACTTCGGGCACTTACGGACCATCAGGGCGGTTAGCTCCTCCTCCCTGAACAAGATATATAGAAGCATCATCGTTTTCTTACTTTTTCAGGCGCTCCAATTCCTTCGGGGTTAGCATCTCGTCGCACTTCCGGCCCTCATGCAGCTTATCATATGGCTTACCGCACATTCTATAGGAACTTGAGTTTAAAATATATAGGGAAGTGCACCTGCAATGCTTATGCCCGCATGCCGAATTGCGGCACTCGAAAATCGGCTGGCGACCTTTACCGATCAACATCTCGGCCGCGAATTCGCATCGCTGACAGCTAGAAAAAATTATATGGGAGCTCAGCAACAAAGGTTTGAAAAGAAAATAATGGCATCAAAAACCAACTTTTCTACATTAGCGATTTGAGCAGAGCGAATGGCTTCCGAGTCCTGTCGCTTCGTGAAGAGGATCGTTTCTTCGGCGTTTAGCAAGGGCAACACGTGCGCTAAAAGAAAAAAACTTATTACCATAATTTGCAATATGGGCACCTGACAGAATGATTGCTTTACAATTGAAGCCAGGGCAGCGGACACCAGCCCCGCCCGGCCCGATAGCCATTTCGGTAGTGGTGGTGACGGCGTGCTGCCGAACACATGTTACGCACGATTTGTGGGGCTCTAAAATAAAACATTATTTTTTCACAGGAGAATTTGAAGCGAACCTCCGTCGATGTCTTCGTCAAGAGCAGTACAAAGGACCGCATCCGAGTTTCCAATGACATCAAAGCAAATCGGGCACTCGAAGCTCGTCATATTCAGCAGTTCTTGGGTATAGTCCTGAATTGAGGTTGAAAACAAAGTCGTGGGGCCTTACAAATCGCAGAAGCCGTTCGAATCGTCGCCAGATGTTCAGATAGTACTTAGGCAGTAGCTCAGATGGCTCGAGAGTTTCTTCGGGACGAGGGCGTTGCTGTCCAGGTGGAAGGCGTAATGGAATCAGCGTCGGAGAGATAACTAAACAAAAGTTTTAAGGCTGCTAAAAATGGCATACAAGTATGTTGCGGGTCGGTGAGCCGTCGCTGCCAGCCAATCGTCACCAAATGTAGGATCAATAGGCTCTCGTAAAATCCCTTTGTCGAAATCATCTTATAGATGACCGGCATTCGCACCTGCAAAAATCAAATAAGATTTGGATAGTCTAGAGTTACCTTAGGAAACTGATCGCGCAGAAACATCGCAAGCTCGCGAATATCTTCCGGACCGAGCCGCAACTTCTTAGAACCCGGAGGGCCGGAATGGCTAAAAAGGAAATAATGGAACGGTAATAAAGGGCCATACATCTGGATCAAATCCGCCCAAATCCGCTCCGCGGCCTGTTCTTTATTCCAAGCCTCCAGATCCAGGTCCCTGAAAGTGCGAAATAGATTTCGTCGAGAAGCCCTACTTCGGCATCTCCAAGAGTGGCGCTCGGCGTTTATTCGAATGGCGATGCTCTGTGGAAGTACACGGAAGATCGGGACCCGTCAAGCTAAACGGAAGAAATTATCGATAAACGGCTGACTGACTCGATAAAATCAGTCTGCTCACTTCCCACATCACCGTCGCCTAACATAGCACCAGTAAGGGCGCTTGGGGCGCGCTAATCGTTACCTAGAAAAAACCAATGAATGTCTGAAACCAAGAATAAAAGTAAGCTCTTGAACGAATTTACATCACGTCGTTGCGAAAGACAGATATAAGTTTTGCGCTCAAAAACACTGATGATATTCCAAAGTTCTTGGACAAAATATTTATCAAGCAACATAACAAATGGTTACAAGAGCTCAATGCTCGGACCAGCTTGCGGGGAGATAAATACATGTGGATCGCAGGCGGTAAACAGTACACGGGGATCCAAAAGGCACATAGCCTTCGAATGCACCGCAAGGGCAGAAAGCAAGGAAAGAGACCCGGGCAATGTGTGGACCCGTTTTGGCTGCTCAGACGAAGCCGGCTCGATCCTTTTCTAAAAATGCCATTAGCGATAATTAGATTTCAACAAACCTAGAAGATCTGCATCGGCCATTGCCCGAACCGTGGCAAGACGCTCCTCCTCGCTCATTTTCGAAACTTGATCGTTAGTGGTCCAGAGTTTGCAGCCGGCATCACTAAAAATGGTTCCAAAACTTTAAGATACCTAATACCTAAAGTGATCATATCCGGCGATAGTCTTCTTGCAAACATAGCATTGGAGAGTGCCGCACCGGCTGCATGTCATTTTGCTGCATCCGTCCTCCTAAAATACAGGGTCGAAAGGGGACGTAGCAACATACCCTCATAAATTCAAGGCTGCATTTGTTGCACGTTCGGATCGTAATCTTGGTCAGCTCTTCTTCACTAAAAAGAAGTATAAAATTCGATAGAATTTTCATACCGTCGAAGACGGGCCTCGTCATGTCTTGTCAAGACGTCAGCACATTTCTTGTCCTTGTGCTTCTCGTCGTAGGGACGCTCGCACAGCCTAGAAATAATGTTAGAAACTTACTAACTTTGAGCTTAAAACATCTAGCAAGTTTTCAGCAAGCTCACCGGCAAAACTTGAAGCCACACTCCGGCCGGCCGCATTCGAAGATTGGATGTGACTCCTTTCCGCACTCGATCTCCATAGCGAACGGGCATTGCTGACATCTTAAAAAGATTTCCAAGATGCCAAGCACGACAAGAAGCTTTACCTGACTATATTATGCAGATTTGCACCATTGAGCGCGCATTCGTCGATTCGTCTTTCAAAGAGCTCTTTGTCCTTTCCCTCGAGAAGCTGCAGCACACGAGCTGAAAAAGTGAGGATGAAAATCACATAAAGGTAGGGTGTGTAAAAGAAAAGTAAAACATACAGCGTAGAATGACCCCTTCGCATTTAGGCCAGGCGCATCTCACGCCAGCGCCTCCCGCTCCAAGAGCCATATCGGTGGTGGAAGAGTTCGCGTGACCACGCACGCACTCCTGGCAGAAGGAATGTTGCTCTATAAAACAAAATACAATCAAAATACCTATAAAATAAGCGTTCAGAAAATCATCTCGTCAATTAACAAACCCTCCCACTGATCCAAATTTCCCAACGTCGTGCAGAACACCGCCTCTCTGTTGTCAAAAGTATCGAAGCAAATCGGACAGTCGAAACGAGAGAATTCGATGATAGAATGGGTGAAATCCTGAAAAACATTAGGTACGAAAATCCAAAGCGGCTAACTGTCTGCACGATCTGTTCGTAATTGGCCCACATCCGGTTAGCAAAATCCGGTATCTCGGTGCGATGACGGCGTTCGGCTTCAGCAGCTCGCGAGCGCTGATTGTCAGCAGCCATGCTTCCATACGAGCTGGGAGGTAAGCCTAAAGTCGTTGGATGTGTGGACACGCAACAAGATGAGGCTGAGAATACGATCCAAAACCCAACAATTTTTCGAGCGGAGCTCCTCTTCTTCTCCCAAATCGTACAGCTTGAGGAACAGGATCACTTGGTAGAAGTCATGTTCATTGAGTAGAGCATTAATGCCTGCTTGTCTGATCTGAAAGGGCAAATTCAGGATCATCGCCAACCGTACCAAAGGGAATTGGTCTCGAAGAAACATATTGAGCGTCGTGCGCTGATCGTCGGTCCTCGTCACTTTGTTTGTATCGAGGAAATGTTGTCTAAAATGGACTGATGGCCTCGGAAACGAATTTACCTGCGGTTCACTTCATTCCAAAGCGCTTCGATAGTCTTCTCCCGTTGGAAATCATCGAGATCGATTTCTCTAAAGTCAGGTAGATGAAGGAAATCGCAGGGAAATCCTAACTCCATGTCATCTTCGAATTCGCCCGGTCGTCGAACCAATACAGTCTTTGCTCCGGAGCCAGCGCCCGCAATAGGCCGCAAATTGATCGGCTTTCTCTTTGGTACAACCAATGGCGCTGGTTTTCGAGCAACAACGGGTTTTGGCGGCTGTGGGGCCATGGCCTCCTATAAGCTTGATGAAAATTTCCAAAAATTCTCCTCACTGATAACTGGTGTAGCTGGGCCATCAGGGCCTCATCGTCCATACTGGCATAATCGATTGCGTCCTCGAATCGCAGATTTGGGAAGAAATTTTCCTGAATCGAAGGTCTGGAGTGCGGAACCAACGTACCACCATATTATAGATTCGTCTCTGCTTCTCCTCGAAAAGGCTGGCCTCGATCACCCTCTAAAAGCGTACATTGCAAGGTAAAACGTCCAGTCGTACCTGGAACTCGTCATCGTCAGCCATTTCAAGTATCCGTAGAAGCCGAGCCGTGTAAGTACAAAACTAAATGGTGAGCATAATGCGGGGAGCAGGAGCTGCGAGGTTCGAAACAAAAACGAAAACGATCGAAGAGGCAAATGTATCGCGTAAGCATTTATTTGCCCGCCGTGCGGGAAAAGTGGGCTCGACTCGACCCTTATCTTCCGCAAGAGAATCGCGATAGATCAATTCTAACCCTCCAATCACCTAGATTTGTTGCGCAAGAAATCTGTAAACCAAAAAGCGTTTATTTTACGAAGCTGGCAGGTAAAATTCGCGCCATTTATTTTACAAGACCATCGTGTACAAAGTGTCCCAGTAACTATCGTTCAGGAAAGGTTTATGCACATAATTCCACTAAAAGCTTGAAAATTCGCACTCTATTCCACACAGAGATCAGCGGAAAATGCATCGGAGGGGATAACACGTCTTGGCGATAGAAGTAAACTTCAAAAAAACTATAAAATTCGAAAGTTCTGTAGCTACAAAGAGGAGAGAGTTGGCCACTGGGATAGGAAAATAACAATCAAAGGTAGATTTTCTAAAAATTTTGAAAGATTTTCGATGCGAAAATGGCATCGTTTTTTATCGCTACGGCCGACTCCTGTGGACGGTTTTCGTTCACAGTGTCCTTCGGAATTCCCGATTTTCGACTTTTGGAGAGAATAAACAAAATTATTTTAATTTTACATGGTTATCACAATGATTCTTTACAGTTTTTCTAGACAATATTTTTCGGCTTATTGGACACAACCAAGCAAATAATTTCCCCGCGCGTGAATGTCGGTGGACGAGAAGAAATCTTGCCACAATTGGTTGAACTGCTTCCAGTCGATCGCCATTAGAAGGGTGCCGTCGCTACTCTGAAAAATCTCGTTGAGAAACGTTTGCCAAGCTTTTCCAATATTGCCGATCCAGTTACTCACCACGGCAAATTGGTCAAAAGCCCGGTTGGCCGTGTCTCGGTCGATGGAAAAGTAGGACATAACTTGGACATATTCAGCTTGATCGACGAGTCTATCACCTGTAGAATTTTGGCTTTGATATGAGCTATTTTTCACTGACCTGACGCGTCAAAAAGGTTGTACATATAGTCAAGGTAGCTTTTCTGCCACTTTCCGTTTCGGTTTTTCGTTAGCAATGAGATCCAATCATCCAGATTCAGCTAAAAGCAATATTTTTATAGTGGTCGGTAGAATAAAAATTTTCTATTTCGTGCACCCACCTTTCCGCCCTCATCAATCTGCGCGGCTTGCGTGAGGGAGTACCAGATTTCGGGGAAGGCCAGCTTGGCGCTGATGTATTCGTGGCTTCTGCAAGACTTTCAACTTTACACCGGGGTACTGTGGAGATCAGGGTAAGGGGGGTTGTTTTACAGGATCCCTGGGTTGGTAATTTGAGCCGTTTTCTCGGCTAGGAATAGGTCATGTGGTCACATTAGCGTCAACAAGTCGTTGATGTTTGCAAAAACTGTGTTGTGAACGACGGGAAAGAGAAGGAAGCTTTTCATACGTGCTTCCCTATGTGCTTCCGGGAGCAGGTTAGCTAGGTTTTGTTGCTGATGACGCAATTGTTTTGCTTCGTTTAGCTACTCACCTCGGCCCTCGCGTCGCTCTGATGATATGGGCAAGCGTGTCAAAGTCCTTATATTCCAGAGAGCCATTTCCGTTGATATCTAAATACCAGAATTCTTCTTTTTTTGAAAATTACAAACCAAAAAACGTCTTGAAGGCGTAGGTCCATTTTTTCAGGAGGAAGGGGTGCACTTCGAGGTTGGACAGCGTCTTTGCTTCGACTTGTCGCATTTTCTGGATAAGATTATAATGATGGTATAACAATCGCGGGGGAAGGAAGAGAGCGAATAGAAGGGGAGTTCGAAGGAGGTGTTGACCACAAGGCCGACAAAATTTAACGAGTTTGAAAATGTTTTCCACCGGGCGCGGCAGCCGTTACTTTATGGTCATATTTGATGGCTACTGCCTGGGGTTCTGCAAATTTTTTGGAGTATTTCACGGAAATTATGGTGAATTTATAGGTCGCCAGAGGTGAAAAAAAGAAGTTTTCTGGTTTGGCCACTTTTAGGAATGCTTTCCGGAGGTTTTTTCGATCATTGTTACTACTTGGGGGTTCGGAAATTTTACAATTTTTCGTGATGTTTCGCTGCGAAGAAACCGGATTTGGAGCTACGGTTCTTAGAGGTGGCAAAATAATTTTCGGCTTTTCGGCATTTTTCTGCATATTGAAGAGGGTTTATCGCTAAGCCTGTCGTAAAATTGAAGAAAAAACAGCAAAAAAAAAATGGTCATAGCCTCATCTGAGGAACGGGGGTAAAGTGTAGTCAAGATCTATCGGAATTCGCAGAACGCTAGAACTAAATGTGAGAATCAAAATCCAACATCCGCCACCGCTCTGGCTCAAGTCCAGACTCGTCGGGCCGGCATGACGGAATGAGGAAGTTCCTCGAGGCGGCTCTGAACTGAGACGATGGCCAGGCGAACCGGCCGAGACCGAGGGGCGGTGAGAGGAGCTCGGTCGGGCAACTGTCAACCTGAGGGCCCAGCCAGGGCCCGCAACATCTCACCTTTCGTGGGGTGGGCCCTGCCGAGGGTCACCCGGCCCGTTCATTTTCAACAAACAGACTTACGGCCCCCTAAAAAGTGAGATCCGGGCCCTGTTTCGTCAACTCGGGGTGCTTTTATCCGGGACGGCTTCACGCGGTAATGTTTGCCGTTAAGGGGGATAGGTCATTTGACGCGGTAGACGTGACGAAAACAGAAAATTAGCGAGATAGCGTCATGGATCTAAGGATTCTCGTGCTGTGTGGCGGTTAGCAAAGTCTAAAGTCAAAAGTCTCGTGAAAAAAAGCCTCGCTTGTTAGCGGATGGAGACATTTTTTAATATTAATTTTAACTATTCAAGAAGTAGGAAATTTATCAAATTCAGAAAATTTCTGTAATCCCTTACTCACTTTAGGCCGAAAAATTTCCACCACTTTTCAACTTAAAATCCGCCTTTTAATAAAATTTATAAAGTTTTTATATGCACGACTAGTTGATAAGAGTGCACAACGATATTCGGTGTTTAGTAAAAAATCGCGCTGAAAAAATGTGGGCCGAAATTCCCGAACTTGACAAATGCGTAACCTGATTAGCTTAGGCTTCTCCTCGCCCGCCACCCAATACCAAAGATCGACAAGCCCTCAGCCGAAAATGTCCCATTTCCAAAAGCCGCTAGCTGCCCCCAAAACCGCCTCACCCGTCACTTGGCCACTTTGAAAGAACAGAGGTCAGCTTTACACTGTCTGTCGCTAAACGGCTTCCCCGGGGGGGTTGAAACCGGCCGTCAAAATCGTTCCGTGTTGCCACCCGAGCCCTGGACGATGCTATTTCAGGCCCAACGGGGGGCTTGGGGACGGCGACACGACGCACGACGGTGATGCCGAGTGACCGCAGACAGGCGGTTGGCCGCGAGCAAAAAAAACTTTTTGGTCTTGATGTATGGACTGGGGGTCACCTTGGTAGGGGGGATAGGTGTCAGTTGTTAACACTTCCCGATTGGTGTGAATGTGGGAGAATGGTTTTGAGGGTGACAGCAAAGCCGACAAAGTTAGAGCTTCGGGTTGGGTTCCACAACGTATAGTTTTTAACGTACTCTGCGATTTATTAAAATGGGAGTAAAAGCTAAAAGATCCCATTGTAATAAAAAGTAAAATCCGAATTAAAAGATTCTTTCCAATAAAAAGGTAAAACAAGCTTGAAAAAGACAACCCGATAAAGTAGTAAAATCCTAGACACCTAAACTAAATTCGAGTCAAGCTCCTCGAACGAACTCAATCAACCATCACCATCCCCGCAAAGGTGCCATGATTGATAGCGAAAGCTCTGGAAGCTGCCTGCAAACGCTTCGATCGCATCGACGCGTGTCCGTGCGTGACGTTCGTGTTGGCCAAATGGTCACATGAGTTATGCTACCAACCCAAAGCCCCGGCGGCTATACCGAAAAACATGCAACTGTTCCCCTAGGCCTTCTTTAATGATCCCCCGCGATTTAGATACCCCAACGCCTGTCTATCACACATACCTTTATAACGAGACCGGCATAACAAACGTTGGCGAAATTCAACAAAATACACAACAGATCAAATCGGGTACCCGTTAAACTAATACAAGAGTTCAAATTAAAATCACAACTAGGGCAATAACTTTAGTGGGGTGGTTTTTGACACCCGGTATCTTTTAATTTTCGGGCTTATTCCCCGCTCAGCTCCTTGGCCGATTTGCCCTTCTGCTTGGGCATCTTCTTGTTCGTCGAATCCTCGAGCTCTTGGCCCTTGTAGTAGTGGGGGGCGACCTCCATCAGCCATTTGCTCTCAATCTCGAGCACCTATTGTAAGGGAAGGTTTAAATGGCATAACCGGTGCCGTACCTCACGCATGAATTCCTTGCTGGTGAAGACGAGTTCGTAGTAGACAAGCCACCGGGGCCTCTCTTCGATGAGGCAGGAGTTTGGGTGGATGTGGACGGTGTGCTTGTTCTAAAAACGATTTATTTAGCCGATAAAAGCTTTCAATTACCTTGACCGTCTTGTAATGCCCGTTCTGATCGAGCTTGGCACAATTGAAGAAATATCCGGCTGTGATTGCTTTCCTGATAGCTTGAGTGTCGGTAGTAGTTTTCTAAACAACAATGACGATACACTACGCGGAAAAGTTCCTTACCGCCTCAATCTCGACACGCTCAAGCAGTCCCGCTAGCTGGTCCCTGATGTCGCGGGCCCGCTTCATGGTCCTGTGCTGAACGTAGTTCTCCATGCACCTAGAAGAAGCAGAAATTATTTTGCTGAATTGTTCACTCTACCATTGCTGGCTGTAGTTCGTCTCCTTCCACTTGTTGTACACGTTCAGCAGGGCCATATGGTCGCCGACAATCGGCGCTCCCCAGAAGCCTTTACGAGCCGCGTCCGCGTGGATGACCATGGCCTAGATTCGGTACTTTAAAAATAGAGTACAGATCTACATACCTTAGGACGGTAAAATACGGCCGCACCGCAGGACATCATTGCCGAAATGGAAATGATTTCTTCCGCGCACTCGTATCTAAAAAATTGTCTCCAAAAATCACAGAACCAAGCTCACTTCTCGCTGGCGAGGATCATTTTGCTCATCTGCGGATCGCACGGGAATTCGGCCATGCGTCGGCCGAGCTTCGTCAGCTCGCCCTTGTGATTCAGGGCTCCCAGCGCGTAGAGCTGCTCCAACGCAATCACAAGCGTTTCCTAAAGAGCACCCAATCTTTAAACTAACTTCAGATATATAACCTGCGGCGGCGGGTCGAGGAAGTCGAAGTGAACAATGTCGTGGATGCCGAGTGATTTCAGCAACAACACGACGTTCCCAAGGTTTACGCGTTGGATCTGGAATAAAAAGTTAAAGTCCATAATAGCCATTTTGCACCTCAGGAATCGGCTGATCCTCCAATTCATGCTGATAGGCCCAAGAGGTGTAAAGTCGGAAGCATTTGCCGGGACCCGTACGGCCAGCGCGCCCTGCTCGTTGGTTGGCTGCTGCTTTCGAGATCGTGACGACGTGCAGATGTTCAACACCCGCCCGAGCGTCAAATGAATTTTGCTTGCTGAACCCCGGATCGATCACGTAGCAGATGCCGTCGATCGTAACCGAAGTCTCCGCAATATTCGTCGCCAGAACAACCTGGAGATAAGGATTGATCCTACAAAAAACGCGAAAAGAACCTTTCTAGCATTCGGAGGCGTGGGCTCGAAGATCTTCGACTGCAGGTCTGAGGGTAGATTGGCGTAAATGGGCAAGATGATCAGCTCCTTGATCTTCTGCCCCAGTGCTTTCGTCTTCTCGATCAAGGCTTCTTGAATCGTTTCAATCTCTTCCTGGCCTAAACTTCCGGCTTTTTCAAAATAACCGATTTAGAAACTACCAGTTAAAAAGACCAAAATGTCGCCGGGTAGAGGCTGGGTGAGATGGATTTGAAGCACCGAGACGACGGCCGCATCCAGGTAATCAGCCTCGGGGGCCTTCGTGTAGAAGATGTCGACGGGAAACCTGGAAAAATCATTTTTAAATAAACGTAGGTCCCAGAGGCTGCATCAAGGAAAGTCGAAGCCATTACCGTCGTCCTGGAATCCGGAAGATCGGGGCATCGTCAAAAAATGTTGAGAATTTCTCGGCATCCAGCGTCGCCGAGGAGATCAGGAGCTTCAGGTCTTTCCTAGAAATTTCGTAAATACAAAAAAGCGTACATAGAAGCTCACCGGAATCGTGCAATGTCCTTCACCAAGCCGAATAGAACGTCAGTGTGGAGTGTCCGTTCGTGGGCCTCGTCAATCATCATGACACTAAAAATTTTGATGAAGCAAGTACTTCCTCTAGTTCTCCAAAATTAGATAAAAATATTCTTACTTACCTATAGGTGGCCAAGTCCGGCTCGTTCAAAAATTCACGCAACAACATTCCGTCTGTCATATATTTGATGACCGTCTTCTCGGAAGTGCAGTCTTCAAAACGGATTGAGTAGCCGACCTACACAACACTTTTTAAGATCAAAATGAAGCTCCATACCAATCCTCCCACTTTCGTGCCCACTTCTTCCGCTACACGAGCAGCCACACTCATGGCAGCGACTCGCCTCGGCTGTGTGCACCCAATTCGCTTGTTTCCGTCGCAGAAGCCCTGAATTAGCGAATAAAGAGTGGTGCACTAAGCTCCGTACGGCTTCATAGAGAAATTGGGGGAGTTGTGTCGTTTTTCCGGAGCCGGTCTCACCTTCGACGATTAGCACCTAAATCATCAAATTAGCCTAACCAATTTACTTCTATTTTCCCTATTTTGTGATTAAAATTAGTAAAAGTGCACCTGATGGTCGCGGACAGCTTGAATAAACTCTTCGCGGAATTTGTAGACGGGCAGCGATCGTCGCGTCTCTTGAATGGACATCTTCCGCTTCTCGGCGACCGTGGGGCCGGAAGGCTGAAAGCTCGATGATAAGACACTTGCATTTTTTCTACCTTTTCGTCAGTTCCGGGCATTTGTAAAGCTTGAACGAAATCGATCTCTTCATCAAGGACTAGTTCGAAGTCTTGATTCGCCTAAAACAACGTTTTTTTTTTCAATGAGGATAGTGGCTACATCATGTCGATCCTTGGAACCAAAATGGAACAGGGCTTCTTGTAGTTGAACACTTTCCCATCTTGCGCCGTCGCCGCCTAGAAATTGTCATAATTATGAATTTAGCTTCTTTTCTGACCTTTAACAACCTCCTGTTCCTCCACATACTGCTCGTGCAATAACTTTTTGGAAGCGTCCGGCATCACGTATCTGAAAAAATAGGCTTTTTTTGAAGATAAAGTCAAACCGGTCAGCTTTTGTAATCTCCTCAGCATCCTGATATTTCTTGGCGTATTCCAACTTCTTCTTCCGCAGCTCCATCTCCCGAATTTCTTTGGCTGACAGCCTGCAAGAGCTTGCAGTGATCAAGAGTATATGCCTCACTCTTCTTTCGACCAAATCGTCTCGTCGTCATGGACTTGAAGCTCGAGCTCGTGCACCTTGTCGTCCTTTCTTTTCGCCAAATATTTCTTTCGGCTCTCGTCACGCAGGTCGGAGATTGACATTTGTTTCTGAAAGAGAAATTGCAGACAAAAAAAAGTAATTACCCGTTGATCATCGACTTCGTGCCTTTCCTTCAAATTTCTCGTCTTCCCCTTGTCCTTTTCCCGTAGGCGCGCCGCAAACTCGTCACGTTCCCTGCGGTCTTGTTCATCTTCCTCATCCATCTGAACAGATCGGTAAAACGTTACCAAAAATTATTTACCTTATCGATTTCATCGTCCCCTCCATGCTTTCGTTTGTCGCGTCGCACTTCTTTGACATCTTCTTCATCAGATTCGCTTTGTGAGCGTTTCCTTGAATGCTTCTCTTTTTTCTTTCTGGATGAAAAGCCGTCATCTTCATCCTGGACGAGAGATGTGACTCGGGCATTCATCTTGCTCATCTCCATCACTTTCCGTTCGGCTTCAGATGGACCCTTTTGTACTTTGACTTTCGGAGCTAAAAATAAGGACCATTGTAAGTTTCTTTTTTTAAAAGTTACCTGCATGTGGGACGCGGTTGAGCAATTCTTTAGCGAAGACCCGGACCGCTGGTGTGATGTCTGCGACGGCATCATTATCCCGAAGCTTTCCTAAATTGAGAGATTATTAATGATGATGTCGACAACTGTGAAATTCTTCTACATTTTCTAGAAGCACACCTATCAGGTCGTCTGCATTCGTGCTCTTTTTCGCGAGAGCTATCACAAATTGGGTCATCGTCCGGTCGCTCATCCCCATTAAAGCATGTAACTCGTCGTTTACCCATGTTTCAATGGACATCTAAAGCAAAATAATTTTTTTTAAACCGGGCCAATTTAGAGAAAAAAAGAAACGCGCTGTTACACCGAGGATTTGCATATTACAAGTCGCTTCTTATTAGTTTTTGTTGCCTGAAGCCCCTAGCTAATGTAGAAAATCAATACCCACACTGATTCGATTAAACTTCCGAAAATCGCTAATGTACCAACTCTCAGACACTAATCTGTCATTTCTAAGGCAAATCTTAAAAAAAAAAAAAAAAAAAAAAAAAAAAAAAAAAAAAAAAAAAATGTCATTTCGAATAATTCCCGGGGTTCGAACAACGTGCGCATACAAACAACGTATTCTTGGTACGAATAACTTTATTCAAAAAGACGATAAATTAAGATCACGTTTATGTAAGCAACAACAGCCACATATAAAACCGGGAAAAGATTCACAGATCTGAAAATGAAAGTCATCAATAGCCCTTGCTCTTAAGATAGGCGTCCAGCTGGGGCCCGGCCTCCTTTAGCAGCTTCACGTTGTTGCGGATGCGCTCGGATACCTAGAAGAGACATTGCTGGAAATAGAAAACCCTCTTACCTGCTTGATAGGACGATCCAAGGTCTTCAGTGATGAGGGGTCTACTTTGCCGCAGAAGAATTCATCGACTTCCTTGGCAACGGCTTCACTGCAAGCCTCTTCCGCGGCAAACTAAACGGATGTAACCAGACATAAAAACCGATTTTACCTTGAAGCAGCGTTGGAAGAGCATCGTCTGAACGCCGCCATATTTCTCGGTTAGCTGGTTCAAGTTCTTCCTAAATTCGGTTTCATGTTTAGAAAAATCTGTTTACTTGAAATAGTCCCAGACCCATTGTTGCCCAGAGCGCGTGCAGGCAGGCCCCATGAACAACGAATGCAGATCTTGAGTGCGAACTTTGCCCTGCGTGATGGCATAGTCGAACAGCGTCTCAAGTCGACCCGACTTGGCGCACGTCTGCCCTAAAGCGACAAGGGCAGTTCGCTCCACTTCAGGGAAGCCGCAAGTCTCGTAGTGGGAGCGAAGCAGTTGGAACTCCTATAAAATGATAAACTATAGGGCAAAAGTAACAAAAAATACCTTATCACCACCGGCGCGAATCGCAGCTCCGAAGACCGGTCCGCGAAGATCTGCGTGAAGTGGAACGTTTGAATCGATGTATTTGTGGAAGAGTTCCTATAAAACTATTTTAGAAGCTGGTTTCCCATGATACCAAGGCCTTGGCGTTGTACTTCTCGTCACCAGCCCGGCAGATGCGCCCGATGATCAGCCCACGGAGCAAGCCAACCTGAACGAGTTGAAGGAATTAAGCAAAAATCACACCTGGCTGTCTTCACCATCAGTGTACGTCCACCCAAGTCGATCAGCAGTGTTTCTCAAGGTGTCGATCAGGTAGCGGTCGAACCTGAAGTACTTTGTAAATTTTTAAGCAGAATGCCGCACCTTTTCTTCAATGAACCGTCCTCGTCGGCATAATCTACCATTCCGCCGAGGCGGGCGATGCCCATGTCCAAACTGCGCCACACCGCGTATTCCGTCTCATTGCGCGACATCTCGAGGAAAGAGAGCGCTTGATCGACAGTAACTTGGTTGGCGAACAACTAAAAAGAGTTAAATCTTACGTGCTGTTTTACCAATGCGAAAAGATCATTTCCGAGCCCGAATCGATCGAGGACAGGAAGCTGGCTGTTTCCGGTAGCCGTGACGAGTGGATGAAGGAGATGCTCATCATAACGCACACGGTAGAAGCCAGTAGTGCCTTGGTTAACCTAAAGGTATTGGCTAGACGCAAAGCTCGTAAAAATACCTTCAGCCACTCCAAGTCGGGGATCGTGACCGTCTCTTCTTGACGCTTCTCGGAAAGCACAAACCGGTGGAAAGGTTCATCAGGTTGGCCGGATCGTGATAGAGTAATTGGGACCTAAACGATGGGCCTGCAAACGAAGGAAAATATCAATACCTTCCACAAAGAAGCGGCCCGATCTTCAGAGCCATCAGCGAGGAAACGTTTCTGTTCAAAAGCTAGCACGCGTTTTCCATTCTCTTGGGTCAGCTGGTTAACGGAAACCACCGGGAATCCCATTTGACTGGTCCACCCGGACATCAGAGCTGCGACGTCCTGAAGACAGTATTGTAAATTCTTCCAAAAAGTTTTACCTGTCCGCTAGCCTCAGAAAGCGCGGCCCACAGATCCTTTGTTTCAGCGTTGGCATACTTGAATTTCTGGAGGTAGTTGCGCAGGCCTTGCTAGAAAGAATTTATAACGACCTGAGAGCGCAAACTCGCCTTGAATTTCTCCTCTCCCAGGTAGAAGCACAACATCCGGTTGATCGAGTTGGACTTGGCGTAAGTGATTGAGTCGTAAATCTCATCAAGCTCGTTCGGGTTCTCGATGGGAACCTAAAATCGAAGTTAAAATGGCATCAGCAAATTTTCAATACCTCGATTGGGTGAGAATTCTTTAGAGAATCGAGGTCAAAGCCAGACGAGAGTTCGTCGTTCAGGAAGTGAAGCCAAATCTTCATCTCTGGGTAGTTGTAGCCAACGAAAAGATATTCCATGAAGGAAGCGAAACCCTCCTTGAGCCAGAGATCAGTCCACCATTTCTGAAAAAAAAGTTTGAAAATAACTTTCGATAAGCTTACCATTGTGACCAAGTCACCAAACCACAGATGAGCCAGTTCATGGGCAATGACGAGTGCGACATAGGTCTTTTGCTTGGTCGAGGTCTTGGCCGGATCGAAGAGGAGGGCGATCTCACGGAACGTGATCAGCCCCCAGTTCTCCATAGCACCCATGCTGTAGTCAGGGATGGCAATGAGATCGCATTTCGGCATCATGTACGGGATGCCAAACCAATCGCCGTACCAGTCTAGGGCTTTCGTGGAAACCTGAAAAAAAAAATAAGAAAATTCCGAGGCCAACTTACTTCAAGAGCAAAATGGCCGAACTCCTTCTTGCCGGGGACGGTGTAGATGCGCACCAAGGTGCCCTTCGGGGTTTTCCCCTAAAAAGATATGAATGAGCAAGTGTCTGCAGAAGTACCTCCAAGTACTCGAACTTCCCAACAGCAAACGCCACCAAATAGCTGCTCATCAATGGGCTGGTGTCAAACTTGACAATGCGCTTCTTTCCTTCCACAGTGCTGGATTTTTCCTAGAAATAAAATAAAAATAGGTTTGGTGAAAGGTACCATAGCATTGCTGAGTGCGGTCAACCCGTCATCGACGACAAGGGTCACGTCATAGGTAGCCTTGAATACGGGCTCGTCCCAGCAGGGGAACGCTTGGCGAGCGTAAGTGGTTTCGAATTGCGTGCTGAACATCCAGTGATCCTTGCCATCGGCCGTGTACTTGGAGCGGTAGAAGCCTTGCATGTGGTCGTTGTGGACACCAATGTACTAAAAAACAAATGAAGAAAACTATCTTCAACCAACGTCAATAGAGAGCTTCGTTTTCTGAGGAGCGATTTCGACAGGTAATGTGATCTCGACAACCTGGGCCGTATCAGAGTAGGTGTGCTGCAGATCACGGAATTCTATAAAAAACATGAGGACAAAAAGCAAGACAAAACCTTGTCCGTTAGCCAGATGCAGCGCGATTGCGCCAATGTTCAACGCTTTCGCATGCAGCTTCAGCTTTGTCGTCGGCTTCAAGATCTCGACGTCAATTTCAGCGCGTCCTTTGAAGGTGAATCTAAAAGAGAGTAGGGAAGGGATCAAAAACCCACGATTCAAAGTCAGGCTCCAAACGCAAAACATAGTGAGCCGGCTTGGCGTAGTCGGGTAGACGCTCGTAACGCTCTCCACTCGGGGCTGGGCAGACAGGAGCCATCGTCACAAGGGGTCGTAAGAAGGGTTGGGTTGACGGAAGGCTGGAAACCGTCCCTGTTGCTCGGCAAGGGGTTTTTAGGCCAGCGGGACTCGAACAAGCCCGAAGCGACAGATTGCGCAGCCGCACCGCCAAGTGAGGCTTCAAAAGAAGCGAATTTACTTGGCGCATCCAAGTCTAAAGCGACCGATTGAGGAGTGCGGGGGCTATAAAGAGTCGCCTGGATTCGGAAGTTCGGATACAGTTTTTGAAAAAGCAGGCGAATCTTTATAGGGGGCTCGTCAAAAGGTCGAAAAATGGAGAGCGCAAAAATGGAAGATATCGAACGGACCGAAACCTGGAAAAATCGGGAGCCGAAGAAAAGAAAAATTTATTGCGAACATCTGGAGACGGTAGCCATGGTGGCTATAGGGTGACCTCGTAATCGGACCCGATCAATACAACAACAAGAACAACGAGAAATTCAACAGAAACAAGAACTCTTTGAGTTAAAAATCACAAACAAAAGTAGCGAACATCTTCCTCATTCAGCCAGTGGCCGTTTCTGAAAAAACAATGTGTCTAGAAGAGGTTTGAAAAAACTCACCCGACTGTTTGTGCCCGGTAGCGCTTTGCTGATCTTCAGCGGCAATGTCTTGGCCGTAAGCTGCTTGTACTTGGGGCCGGCTTCCATGTAGCTGATGACGGAGTAAGCGGTGTAGTGAAAATCTTCCTAGATTCGACGAGTTGAAGGAGGTCAAGACGCAGTTACCGCCAGGTATCCCAGGACGAGAAGCCTGGCCAGCACGCACTCGATGAGTATCTGCTTTTGGCCGTTGTCACGTACAAGCATATCGACCAGCATTTTTCCGGTCAACTTGCCGTTGCTGCTCTTCTTCGGATTGTCCTTTTCCTAAATTATTTTTTACATAATCCAACCTAGAATTGTCATACCTTTTTCATAATAGCCACCGCGTTTTCTAGGATCTCGTATCCATCCACTTCTTCAGCCTCTTGCTCGCCGCAACATATGTCGCATTTTCTAGACCAAAATTTCGGAAATAATGTTAGATCATACTTTCCACACCAATCCGTCTCCCATGGCTCCTCGAAATGACTGGATAGAGCTATTCGACGGCAATCAGATGCCTGGAAAAACTGATTAGCTTGGCGAAGCGGACTTACACCAGTCGCATAATCCACAACGGAGTAGAGATTCTGAACGCCGCCACGTTCGGCCGAGACAGATGTGCTTTGTTTGAACATGTCCTGAACGAGAATGCGCTTTCAGGTGCTATTCTAACCTGAATACGCCAGAAAAGAATACAAGTGGCCGGTTGCCCATCTCTGCCTGCTCGTCCACTCTCCTAAAAAAATTTTAGACCAAAACTCTAACAATTACCTGATAGTAATTTTCGATAGATTTCGGCAAGGTGTAGTGGATTACAAAACGCACATCCGGTTTATCGATTCCCATTCCTAAAAAAGAGAATTTTCAAGAGGCTGTAAAATGCAATACCAAAAGCCACTGTGGCGACAATGATCTGTACGTTTCCGGCAATCCAGCGCTGATGAACCGTTTTCCTATCGTGATCTTCCATATAGGCATGATAGCAGAACGCCCTCAGCCCCGATTTCCTGAAAGCATCACCAGTAATCTCGAAAAGCTGCAAAAAACCGTAGCGAATCGGCCGTCTCCTCGGTGTCTTTCCGCGAAAAACAGTAGACAATTCCTGACTGTCCATCAAATCGGTCCTTAATCAGCTTAGCGAGCACCGTGACGCCATCCACGGTTTTCGGGAAGACCTCGTATTTCAGATTTGGCCGATTGAAGCTGGACCGGAAGACGAGGGCAGCTGAAGGAGAGAATAATTCGAGATAAGCCAACAAAACAAACCGGGAATTCCGAGCATTTTCTTGACGTCGTCGAGAACGGCTGCCGTTGCTGTCGCCGTCAAACCAAGGATTGGAACATCCTAAAATCGAATATTAGGTAAATTAAGACAAACTTTACTTTGAATTGTCGCTTGAGGACGTTGAGGAATTTGTAGTCTGGCCGAAAATCGTGGCCCCATTGAGAACAACAATGGACCTCGTCGATCGCGATAAGCTAAATATGATGATTTATCTACAAAATATGATAATTTTTATACCTTCACCAGCGCCCAAAACCCGCTTCGCGGGCCTTGGGCGCTGGAATGCGGCCTTTGCATGAGAAATTTGACTTTCCGATAGCTTGGGTCCTTCAGACCCCTCCCTTCATCCGACCACACCCGCGCGTGCAACTTGCAAGAATGAGGAAATTTGTATTTTTTGGAATTATGCAAAGTAGCCCTCCCTGGCGCCGGACACACACACACACCCAAAGATACGCGACCAAATTATATTATACCTTCATATATCCAATTTCATTGCTTTTCTCAAGCTTATTCATGAACCGCTTGCTTTTTGCCAACTTCTCAGGTGTAACGTAGAGGATCCGAAATGTTGAATCTCTTCGAGTGATCGCATCTTCAATTCTTTTAACCTAGAGAAATCAAGAATTTAAATGCGCTGGCTACCTCTTCTTTCGAAGTGTTGGCATTTATCGTAGCCGCCTCGATGCCCAACTCTTTCAGGTGTAGCAATTGGTCTTCGATTAATGACAGAAGCGGTGATACGACCAGGGTGAGACCTAAAGCAGCGTTTATTGCTGGCGTAATTGTTGATTTAGGGCGAGCGTCGGCGCTGTCTACCCGGATGCTGCCTTGGAAACGAGGCAATTAGCCACGGTTGAGCGACAAAAGACGCCGTCTACAAATGATTAGACGGAATTATGCAACCAAATAAATTTCCTTAAAACTTCCAATCAGGAGCACTAAAAATAAAAATTTCGGTGAAACCGCCGAGTGTGACAGCTGACCCTGGGGCACCACCTGCACAAACATTGAACGTCACTTATCGTTATCACTAATGCTTTTCATTGAAGCGGAGCCGGGGACGGGAATTTTGCACAAACTAACCTTTTGCAATCACGGCTGGCAACTGGTAGCACAGACTCTTCCCGCCGCCGGTGCTCATCAACAACAGCGTGTCATTGCCGCTCAACACCGAGTTGATTGTCGCCTTTTGCAGGGGGCGGAATGTTTCTAGGCGAAAAGCCTACAAAATAAACGCTTTTATTCGCTACCGTTTTCAAAGCTTCATCTATGGATTCTGTCCAGTCGAATGTTCGCTGCTCCCAGCCCTCGGTGTCTTCGGCGGAGTTCCCGCTATCGATGAGACTTTCCAGCTAGGAAGTAGTCCATAAGTCAGAAGCCAGAAAAGCCAACCATCTGTTTCGTCTCGAGCAATTCATTGCGCTTCCTTTGCAGGCCCCGAATTTGAGTTGTAAGCTGCAAAGGAGACTGTATAATTGTAAGAAAAAGAAGCGTGCCTCTTCTATCTCGGCTTCTATGGCGACGAGTTGGTCGCCGGTACTGCGACGACTCATCGAAGCCGGTTGCTGCAAGCTCGAAAAAATATTATTTTTAAATTAATTTAAAAATTCATCTCTTTGAAAAAACACCCCTATACACCCCATAGACTACCAACAAGCATACCGACCGCAGTCTAACCGTTCGCCTCACGACGTGTATTTTCAAAGGCAATCGCTGATAAAAGTTTATCGATAGACAATAAAAGTGAATCTGTGCCAGAAGTGCTTCTGATATCCGCAAAAACAATACACAGGCAAGAAAAGTACTGGGAAAAATAGCTGTAGCTGAGCAATACTTGGGCGGCAGGTGCGCCATGACCTAAAACAAAGTGGGAGGGTCCAACGCAGATAAAACCTTTATTTATTATTTGGTACACGTCTGATGATAATCGGCGGCTTCTTGCCGATAGGAACAAGACGAGGTCCGGTTTCTTCGGGCTCGGGCTAAAAAAAGAGTATGAATTTTCACAAAAAAAAGATATACCTTCTTCGGAATGTTGATTTCCCTTCGCTCCTTGAGGGCGGCGGCAGCAAATGAAGTGACCTGATTTGGCGGAGGAGGGCGGTTCGTTGTCTAGAAATTCGTCACAAAAATATTGGAATTGGAAACCTGTTGAAGTGGCGAAAAAGAGTTCGCCCAGTTGGGTACAAAACCGGATGGCGGGGCTACTGGCTGATTATTGGGCAACGGGGCGGCATTCTGGCCGCCGACAGTCGTCCACTGAGATGCAGGGGGTGCTACAGGAGCTGCTGGTTGAGCGGGTGTACTCGGGAATGGGTGGAAGGTCGGCTAAAAATCAAAGTGAATCAAACAATGCCAAGAAACTCCTTCCTAATGAAATATGGACCGTTCTGATAGGATTCTATGCAGTTTTTCAGTAAAAAAAAACCCCTAAAAAACGTTAAATTAGCTGATTCTTAGCCGAAAACGCTTACAAGACCGCAAAAAATCGGCTTTGAAAGTAGTAATTTACTATATCGGAGTAATTCCAACCTTCGTATTCGCGTTCACCCAATCATTCTCGTGATTTGGCTCAGCCGGCGCAACTTTCGCTTCACCCCCATTCGTCTCTCCAGTGGCCCCGTTACGTTGGCGAATTCCCTCCAAGAAGGATTTCTATAATACAATTTCAGCAAAGTATACCAAGACCTTACCTGGCCCTCAGGCTTCTTGGTAGCCGCGACCGCACGTGGCTTGCTTTCCGCTGGTTCTGGTTTTGCTTTCTCAAAGATGGGCACTTCTGCCGCGTGTTTCTAAGCCAAATTTTAATTAGAGTTTATCCTTTTACCGTGAATTCGATGGGTCGCAATTGGCCGGCTGACTCGGACTTGTGCAGCACGCCTGCTCCGTTCCAATCGCTGCTTTGTAGTTGTAGATTTTTGAGGATGCTTGTCTAAAAGTTTACTGTCAACAAACTCGTTGTAAAAAAAACTTCAGAGAAAAAAAAAAGAAAAACCAAAAATCTTACCTCACTGCCAAGAAAATTCACGGGATCTTCCTTCGGCCTTCCAATGTCATGTTTTTCGGGGAGAACTGGCTTGGGGATGAAAAGTTGTGAGAAGATGCTGTTGGTTGGATCTAAAAAAAGTCCGTAATATCATTATAAAGCAAGTCACCTTTTATTTCCGGCCCATCGTCGACCGAGTTCCATTTCCAAGCGCTGAGACGGGACTCTTCGAATACAGAACGCAGCGAGGTGATCGCCTTAATTTGGAGCAATTTTTTTTAGAATACGGGAACAAACCGATGTATTAGATGCGATCTGTTGACTATTGTTCTCGATCGCCTGTTGGATCCGGAAGCACAGCCGCCAGCAAACTGTCCAATTTCTCGCCGTTCTTCTTGCAATCACTACACGGACTAGACGACTTCGAGTTTTCTGGGACTTGAGCCCCGTTGAACTGGCTCCTCCAACGGCAATAACTTTCGAAAGGGCTGTCCTTTCCGAAACGATCGGTGAGTTCACCTAAACCAATTCTTTGAAACGAAGAAAACCACATACCTAGTGAAATCTGTGTCTCATCATTCTCCAGCCGAAATAGCATTCCATCGGAAAAGAACCCTTGTTTATACCAGTTGAAGATAAGATGATTTTCAAAAGGGCCACTAAATGGGATTTGGTTGTACGCTAATGAGTATTTACCGCAATAGACCAGTGGGATCCGTATAATAGATTCTTGGCGTTTCGCCGTCCCGCATAGCACAACTGAAGAGACGAAAGGGATGTGCCCGCTAAAAACTGATGAGGCCAATTTGGGAGGGCTTACTATTCTAACACCAGGCTAGTTATCGCTTTCCGGGAGTCCTTGATTGTGTACGCTTTTGAAAAGTAATGTTGTAGCGGATAGACGCCGGAGAAGTGCGCCCCGGTTCCGACTCGTTCCTGAAAGAAAAACAGAATGTTTATGCAAAAAAAATAATAAAGCTAAAGATAGCGATAAAGAAATCAGAAAAAACCCCGAATCCCGTAAAAGCAGCGTTCCATGGCAATACAATAGAAGGCTTTCGATGTTCTGAACTGCAAAGTACTAAATAAAAATGAAGTTTTAAAAATAACTTCAATAAATTTTATGATTTCGACGAAACGAAGTCTAATTTTTCAAAAAGTTTGTAGATATAATATAGGTATTTTTCAGCATTGCGGATTCCATGAGAATCCACTAGACGGTTTTCGTTTCCTGAATTGCAAAGTACAAAGCAAAAATAAATTTGAAAACCAACTTTTAACAAATTTTATTATTTCAAAGAAGCCAAAGCGTAGTTTTTGCAAAGGACTTTTAGATAATATTTGTGAAGCCTTCCTAGCGGTCGGCGTCATATTCACACGATCATTAGCTGGGTTTATTTCCGGTCGGAACTGATGGGCTGTTCCACTATCGCGGGCCAAGTGTGTCAAATGGCGAGAGGGCGCGCAGGGGAGCCGCACGGACTCTTTTCGTAATGCAATCCATGTCGGGGACCCAATTATTTGGCCGCAGGCGTGTTTTTTGGAGGCTTCTCGCAAAAGATGGGCGAATTATGGAGAACCTGGGCCTGATCAAAGTATTAGTTTGCCAAAGATGGTAGAAAAACATCAAGAACTAGCCATTTCGCCTTGCTTTCAGAGGCTGCTTTTTTGTTTTTGAAACTTTCATGACAATGACAACGAATTTTTTCAGAAAATGATTGCTCTACGTCTACTACGATCACGTCACCGGCTCCTTGTGGGCTTACGACCAAGTTCGTCGAAGAAGCCGGAGGATGGTCTCGAGAAGGAGCTTGAAGAAATAAATAAGCGCCTAAAGCAGGACTTCGACAAGGCCACCGACAGTACAGAAGACGTTGGGAAGACCTACATGAACTTCCGACAGGATCGTGCGGTTAGGTTGTCTTTCATGTATAAAATCTTGTTAGAGGGAAACCCACAAACGGAGCGTGATTTTCAACTGGAAGGTTGCGGCGGCGACGTTCGTCATTGGAGGGACCTGTCTAGCTGCTTTGCTATATGTTAAAAAGATTGTGAGTTGAGTGACTATTATCTGATCAGTTTTTTTAGAGATTAGACGAGCGGGAGAAGCATCAGAAAATGGTGGCGGGGAAGGCAAAAATTGGCGGCGAATGGGAACTAGTAAATATGGATGGAAAATTAGGTATCGTCTGGTCTGCGATCTGTATGAAATCGTGTGTTTAGAGGGATCGGAGCAGTTGAAGGGCAATTGGCTGCTCCTTTATTTCGGCTTTACGAATTGCCCGGATATTTGCCCAGATGAGATCGAGAAAATGGTCAAAGTGAGTGGCAACTAATTTTTTTTTGGTATCGTGAATTCAGGTCGTGGATATTCTGGAGGCTGACCCGACGCAGAAGCAGCCTGTAAAGCCGTTATTCATTTCTGTGGATCCAGCTAGGGACACACTCGCCAGGGTCAAGCAATATTGCTCCGAGTTCTCCCCAAAATTACTCGGATTTACTGGAAACGCCGAGCAGGTTGGTGGTTTCCGTCTCATCAGCACAATTCTTGAATTTTAGGTGGGAAAAGTGGCGAAGACCTTCCGAGTCTATCACAGCCAGGGCCCGAAAACTGCCGACGACGACTACATCGTAGATCATACGGTTGGCAGCTTGTTATTTAGGCAATTTCCTTTTCAGGTTATTATGTATCTCATTGATCCGGAGGGCAATTTCCACGACTACTACGGGCAGAACCGGAAAGCCGAAGAAATTGCCAACGTCATCAAGCTCAAGGTGCTCGGCTACGAAGCCGCCCAGAAAAAGAAGAGCATGTTTTCTTTTTAGGCATTTTTTTGGTTCTAGGTTAGTGATATATCGTTTTCGTTGTTGTGTTTCGGTTAATAAATATTTTGCGCTCTATATCGTCCTTATCAACATCACCGATTTATCTTAATCGTGGTTATTTTAATTTTGAGCGGCGTAAATAACGTGATTTTTAACTTTAGCTTGAACATGGCATCAGGCTCACGCTCGGAATTAAGCATAAAGGTGCCGAAGTAAGTATCAGGCTTTTTTCGAAGGTTATGAATTTAGGATCAACGAGGACAAGCGGTTCAGCGTCTTGAAATTCAATGGCAATCTGAACGTGGATACGTCATCATGGGCTTCAGCTGATTGCGGAGAGGTAGTTTAATTCGGTAATCAAGTCAATGAATTGTTTAGGTGCTGCTCGAGCGCGAGGACAATCGTAGTACAGTCATGGCAAATGCCCCTGTCCAGGTACGCTTCGGAATGACTACCTACAGATATACCCTGTGCTTTTAGGACTACGGTGAGGGCTCCGAATACGGAAAAGCTGCCCGCGAAGAGGCACGGCGTAAGAAATACGGCCGACAGGCTCGAACGTACCAGCTCGACAACCAGCCCTGGAAACTAACAGTTTCCGAAGCAGGTTGGTTTTTTTTTACCTTGGGGAGTGGCCTAGATGTTGAACATTTTGATCTTTAGATGGACGCGTTCGGCGCTTCAAGTCGATGCGCGAGGGCGGCGCCGGCGAGCATGCCGACTACTGGGTCTTTCTCAAGGATAGCAACGAATTTCTAGCTTATAAGGTTTGTATTTCTATATTGTGTAGTTATTTATCACTTCTAGGTTGACGATTGGCAAAAATTCCTTCCGGCCATCACACATAAAGTGCTAGATATTGACCAGGCCGAGGAGCAGTTTTTGCAGTATGTTGACACTCTAGTTACGCTCAAAAAAACGTCTAGGCGAGCGAAGGTCATGAACCAATTTGCTTTGAAGGCCCAAATCCAGAAGATGGGTGACGCTGACGAAGGGGAACAGTTGGAGAAAGGATCGAGATTGGTGAGTTTTGGTGAATTGAAATTGAATATTTATCTTTAGAAAATCAAAGACAACTTCTCGGATACCGATGCCTCGGACGAAGAGGACGAAGATGGGGAGCGGTCTCGCAGCAAGGGGACCAAGAACAAGAAGAAGAAGGGAGCAGAGACCGAGAAGAAGGACAAACGGGTCCGCGTCAAGGAGAGCGACGATGTGGCTAAATACGAATCCGAAGACGGAGAGGAAGACGGCCAAGAAGTTGACTATATGTCGGACTCGGGCTCTGATTCTGAGTAAGCTTCCTTTTACGCATACAATTGGTCTTCATATCTTAGTCGCGATAACGTGCCAATGGAGGAAAAGATCGAGAAGGCAATGGTCGGCGTTGACGACGAGGACGGCTTGCGGAAGCTCGGCTCGAGCGAGGACGAGAGAGAGGAAGACGAGGAGGAGCAGGAGGGTTTGGTGCAAAGCCGAATATCATTCAATACTTTTTTAGCGGAGAAGAACAAGAATAACGATTTCCGAAGCAAAGCGCAAGCTGATAAAGATGGTTGGTATTTCAAGAGCCCAGCCAATTTGCCATAGATTCCTCGGATAGTGACCTTGATGAAGACGGTGAGATGACGAAGTCGATATTATTGCTTCCGGTAATTTTTTTGTCTTCGAGAATCCCTATTTTAATTTTAGAAGAAAAATCTGGCCGCTAGCACCAGCTCGAGCGGAAAACCAGTGGACCACGCAACGGCTAAGAAGCGGGCAATCGAAGACGCCGTAGCCGGGGTAGAAGCCAAGCGCACGAAGCTTGAAGGCGATGACGGGTATGAATTTGGTTCTATTAGCTTATTTTTATATTTTACTGAGCCGATATTTCTTAGCCTTTAGCGTCGTATTTTAATTAGGATTTAATGGCTTTTTTTCTACAGCACTCCACGACCGGCTGGAGCTTCGCGGGATCAAAGCGACGGCTTAAACGAGGCGACGGTCCGGAAATACCTGTTGCGCAACCCGCACACCACCAAGGTACTGGTGTCTTACAAAATTTATTCTCCAATTTAGGATCTGGTGAGCAAGTTCAAGAACAAGTGCGGCGACATGCCCAAGCAGGACATCGTCAACCTGCTTGCCAAATATCTGAAGGTAAGCCTCATCTCCAAGCCACCTCCCGCCCCCTTTTCCAGAACATCCAACCGATCCAATTCAAGCAGAAGCAAGGCAACAAGGAGGTCCTCTTCTTCACTCTCCAGAAGCACGAGAGCTAGGCGCTGACGGGTTTTGTTATGTTCTACGTCGTTTTGCTTTGTGTGATCGCATCTCATTGAACCGGTTTATCGATATAAAAATTCTAAAAAAAATAAAGTTGGGGTTAATCCACGGCTAAATATCGGACTATGCATCGGGGGGAATTTCGCAAAAAATGATTCCTGCACGGAGAGAGAGACGGATTGAAGATCATTCGTTCATGAGTTATGAAATTGGAAGGGGGGGGGGTAACATCAAAAGTTTGGTCCTCGTGTTTGGATATTCGATATTGTGCACTTGGTTGGGGGCTTTGGGTGAGGAGGAGCCAGTCGTCGTAATTTCCAGTTTTCATTTTCATTGGCTTCTCCCCCACCCATAGTCCAGAATTAAAAGCACATAAGTGAAAGGCGAATACCGGGCGAGTTGGGGGATGATAACTTATGCGGAATTAGAGAGCCAAAGGTTTCAGCTCCTGGATGCTTTTCTTGCCCCCGGCCTGCACCGCACTCTCGGGCACGCGCACCGATCGCCAGAAGCGCTGTAATAGAACTAGGTTTTTGGATGGTACGAAAACTGACCTCGCTGAGACGGAGATGCTTGTTGTGCGTGAATAGGTAGTAGATGGCCCATCCGGGGATGACCACCATCGAGCACGACGACAACATAAAGCCTGGAGGGATTGCGGTCTTTTCTAGTTCCCGGTTCGGTTTCCTACCAATCACATTAGCCCAGAGCGGATACGGGCGCTGGTCGGGGTAGTTGAGGGGCTCGTAGTAGTAGACGCAGAACCAGAACAACAACTGCAAAAATGTATTATTAAAACTGTCGAGGTCTTAAAAATAGCCTTAAAAATTTTTAGTACGGTTTGATAATTTACACTGACGATTCCGCTTTTACGCGGTTTAAAATTGTCTTGAAAATTTCTAAGTTGATTCTTTACATATTTTCACTTACGAAGGCGGTCAACGGGGACAGGTACTTCCAGAGGATCTTGAACACGAGCGGAACCTGGATCCCGATCATCTCCTTAATGGCGGCCCGGACACGATCGGCTCCTGATTTGTTGTTTTTTTTTCAAAATTTCTGCTGCTTACCGAAGCCCCAGGACAGGCCGACGACTTCAAAGAAGACGACCGTCAGCAAGGCGTACCCCGAAGCGCCGTACGCGTCGATCAGCGTCAGCCAGTGAGAGCCGCCCTGGAAACATCATTTCCAAAAAGAAAAATCAATATAAAGTTTCAAAATCGTGGAACTCACATGGGTGACCATCGGGATTCCGAGGATGAAGAAGCCAAAACATGTGCATAACAGGGCCACCCGCTTGTGCTTTCGAAGCTGGGTGGGGAATGCGTCTTCCAAAGCTGTATACAACCCTTCCATCATGCAGACCTGAAAAAATTAGGTTCTAGCTCTTTAGGGGGGGTAATTTGCTTTCTTCAGCCATCACAAAAATGAAATACTTGTGCCATACTTTTTTATTAATTTTCGAGTACTAATGAAAACCTTTTTTAAATTAGAAAATTGCGCTTTTGACCATTTTTCATATGTATTTATCAAAACACCTAAATTCTGGCAATTATTAAGTTTTCTTAATTTTTTTATATGCCTACTTTTACTAAAATGTTATACAGGTTACGTACAGGCTAAAAAACGTCTTTATAATTTCCAAAAATTCGACATTTTTTGAAGATGTTGTATCAATAACTTTTTCTGAATTTCATTTTTTTCATCGACTGTTTTGTTCTGACTACCGACCTGGCTGTCCAACCCCAAAATCGTGATCATCAAGAAGAAGAGGAAGGCCCACAGCTGCTTCATCGGCAGATTTGTCGCCATTTCTGGGTACGCCAGAAAGGCCAGCCCCACGCCTGAAGCGGTATTTTTCAATGCGAAAAGCTTGGGCTACCGGGCTTGACAATATCCGCAATATCTTTGCCCGACGCCTCGCTCATGAAGCCGAGAATGGAGAAGATGGCCGTCGAGGCTAGGATAGAGGTGCCGCCGTTGATGAAGCACATCATGATGGCGTCCCTGGAAATGGGAAAATCAGGGCTGAGTTTTTTCGGACTTGACTAATAGCGGGGGGTGGGGCGGAAGGGCGATTTAAGCGGGAGCCGAAAAGTCATCTACAATATGCCTACCTAATCAATTTTTTGCATTTACCGGACATTCTTAAAATTCTTTTAGTAGTTCTTAATTTCTAAAAAGTCGCAAAAACATTCTTACAAAATTTAAATATTGAATTTTTGAACGTTTTCATGCATTTTTCAGCAATATTTTAAATTCATTGAATTTTTAATGTTTTGATTAGCTTGTTATACTTAAAAACAGCGTAAAATTGTATATAAAAAATGTATAAACAGGGGGTTACTTTATTACCTGAAACAGTTGTGGCTGAACTTGTTGTGCGAGCCGAGGGCAATCAGCGTACCGAAACCGACACCGTAGGAGTAGAACACTTGCGTGCCGGCGTCTTTCCACACTAAAAATTGACCTTAATAAAACGCTAAAATTTCAGTAAAAAACCTGTAGCTTCCATCAACTTGGTGGCGTTCGGGGTCAGGTAGTAGGAGATTCCCTTGGCGGCACCGGGGAGTGTCAACCCGCGCAGCAACAGGACAACGATCAACACGTAGGGGAACAGGGCGCAGAAGTAGACAAACTGGAATAGTTTCGAAATTTAGGCGTATGCTTATGGTCAAATCTCAGGTAAAAACTCGTTAAAAATTAAAACAATTTTGCAAAAAAAGCGAAAAATCAAGAAAATAAAACTAACTTTCCGTGCATTAGTGATACCCTTCCACAACGCAAAGTAGACGATCACCCACGAGACTGCCATCAGCCCTAAAATTTCGAGGTTATTTTTTAAAGAATTTTTAGTGTTTTACCCAGCAATTCCCACTGGATTCCACCGAAATCCTCGATCGAATCGGTCACCATCAGGACGCGTCGTCTAAAAAGATGATTTTTACACTTTTGCATAAAAATTTATCCCCCCTCCGATACTGCAAAAGCTCCAAAATTAGCGTTTACTCACTCCCAGTACTGCTCGACGGAGGTCTGCGTGTGATTTGTGTGCGCTTTGATCGCCTCCAACATCTTGGTGTGCTCCTTGCCGGTCACGCACGACGCGTCGTTCCTGAAAAAACGGATAAACTCTGCAAGAAGCGTACGAAACGTACCACCAATTGTCGCACGTCTCCCACGGGAAGGTGGAGTTGAACGACGCGATCATGTAATACATGGCCCAAGCGCAAATGACGCAAAAGTACCAGATACACATGAACGAGATGACAATGTTGCCGATGCCCACGCCTTGAAAAGATAATTTTCGGAGTTTTGAAAATCGGGATCGTGAATTTTCGAACGCTCGAAAATCAGAATAACGAAAATTGTAGCCTCGAAAATCCGATGCTTTTGTCGCATATTTTTTTCGACTTTCTCTGACTTTGTCGTCCTGAAAATCAAATATAGCGTAATCGTAAAGATTTTAAAAGCGATTCTAGTAAAACATTATGTTATTTCAGGTCGAAAAACGATCCAAAACCTGCAAAATTTTTAAAAAATTCGAGATCTTGGGTGAAAAATCGAGATTTTTTTCGTATTTTTTGAAATAAAAATTTGAAGTGTTAAAGTATATTTGTACCTTTAAAAAGCGGGCACATGTTCCACATCTCCATGGCACCACGCTGCAGGTACTGGCCGATGGACACCTAGAAAAATTCAATTTGATACAATTGATTTTTTTTCTACCCAAATGACCAAAATCTCGCCTTTTCCAAAAACTTTCCAAACTTTTTTTGGAACTATTTCTACTTTAAATTTAGCTGAAACTTACTAAAAACAGTGTAAAAACATTTTACATTTTATTACTAAGCCAGCCTGGATCTATAAGAAAAAAAGTATCATCCCTACTCAAGCACCAATTTGATAATTTTCACCCCCCCCCCCCGCCGATATTGGAAAAGCACCGACAATTCCAATAATGGAAAAGTAAGGTACCTCCATGATAAAGATCGGGACGGCGGCGAGGGTGAAGAACACCGAGTAGGCCACCAGGAACGAGCCGCCACCATTTTTGTAGCAGAGGTAGGGGAAACGCCAGACATTTCCTGAAAAATAATGTTATAAAGAAAACTTAAACCTTTTAAACGTAGTTTTAATTTGACTAACCAAGTCCAACGGCGTACGCGATCATACTCATCAAAAAGTCGAAGCGTCCCGTCCACTGGCCGCGCTCCTCGTCGCCTTGGCCAATGTCGCCATTCTAAAATGATATAATGGCAACATTTTCATTAACTACTTTACATTAAATAAATTGTTAAAGGTTTTCTGAAATGTTTTGATTTTTAAAGCCATCTTTCGTAAAGTTTTTACTTCCTCAACGGCCTTCGCCGCCTCCTCGCTGGCCGGCAGCAACTGGTGGTTGCCGGTTGCCGGCATCTGGAAATTATCGTACAGTTGAAAATTAAACTAAAAACCTTTCAAAAAGTAGTCCTTTAAAGAGAGCCCAAAGAGAACACGATAAAATAGAATCTGAAGCACTATCCGGGTTTTTAAATGCTTTTTTTTTTACCTGGAGCAGGGCCTTTACAACCAATTATTCCACCAGAAAGGCGTCTAACGCTCTATGGTGAATTATAAATCTTTTTAATAGCATCTAACGCTTTTTTCGGGCATAAAAGTCCATAGAAGATTATTAAATTTCCGAAAAATGTTCGTTTTTTTGAAAAATTTATCAAAAATGGGCACAAATTCAAATATTTCCAACTTCAAAAGTCTTTTTAGAACTTTTTAGTAGTCAGAAGCCGTTAAAACAAGACAAAAATAGTTTTCGTTTCCGTTTTTAAACCGTTGCTAGCTTAAGCTGAATCGAGAAGCCCCCCCCGCTAACAACCCAGAACCCGAGTCAAACCCTGGCCAGGCGTGCCGGACAAAACTCTACCCCAACATCACTACTCAATTCTGGGCATGCTAGACCAATTTTCCGCCCGTTCCGGTCGCGCAGCAGCAAAAAACGCGCACGGCCAATATAACCCCCCGAATCCGGGGGCGATAAAATCGAACTGGTCGAGGAGGAGGAGGGGAGACTCCTTGGTGTTGTAAATGTAACTTTTTTTGGGGGGTGAGTGAGTGAAATGGCCGTGGAAATGATCCCTTCCCCAGATCATTCGGGTGGTGTTCGGAATTGAAATAAAAATAAAGCTAGAAAGTTTAAAAAGGATTGTAACACTAAAATATGATCTTTTAAAGGGAAAGTGACACGCTGCGATCTCGGAGAAACCGAGAAGTCGAAAAGCGCGCAGAACGTCAGCGCGGGCAGAGGAGTCCTGCGTAGTCAGAGCGGCCCGAAAACAACCGAAAAACATAATGTAAAAGCTCTAAATAGAAGCCCTTTAAATCAAATTAAGTGTATTAACAGCGTTTTTGACAAAAAATGGCTTGATTTGGAGAAAAAACGATTCAAGAAATTGCGAAAAAACTCTAAAATTGGAAAAATTATATTTTTCTATTTTTTCGTGAAAAGCTGCGGTATTTTTATGTTGAGGAATAGTAAAAATAGTTTATAAACACTTCCTCTATCTATATATTAGAAAAATGATAATAAAACAATGGTTTTACCCCGATAGCCAGCCCCCCCCCGGTAATGCAAAAGTACCAGGTCGCTTTTGTTCAAAAGGACCAAATAATCGCAAAAACCCATCCTGGCGCCTGTCCAAAAATCTCAAAATTTTCGCTACACTGCATGGTACGCATTTTCCGAATTTGACCTTGACTAGAAGTGGTGACACATCGACAGAATCCCGACAGTCAGACAGAGAGCTCTGTTTGTAGGTCTGTCGTTTCCAGAGGAGATGCCCAAAAATTAGGGTGAAGTGGGGGGAGGGCGAGGTTTTGGACTGACTGTATAGCGGCCAATATGGGGCTGCTCGGATGCTCTTGCGGGCAAAAGGCTAATGTTTTCACTATTCCAAGGTCATCCGGCACTCACTCAAAAAAGGAGGGGGAGCATGGGATGCCCATCCAATACAGCCAAAAACAGACAGACAGACACACACAGACAGACAGACAACCGCGGCACTCTCGATTTTGGCGAGGCAAATCGGCATTTAGTGACGGGTTAGAGGGTGCCGCCTTTTTTGGGATCAATGATCGCGGTTGGACAGGGAAAAAAGCCAAAATCTCGACAGCTAAAATACCGATAGCCTACACCGACCAAAACGCCGACAGCCTTAACCTATACGGCAAAAATCCCGAACTAAATCAGACTGATAAAAATCCCGACAGCCAAAATCCGGCAGCTTAATCCTGCCCGCCAAAATACGGCATCCTAAAATGCAGATGCAAAACGCCGACAGCAAAAATCCCGACCAGCCCAAATCGGGCAGCAAATACCGAGCCAACCAAATGCCGACAGGACAAAACCCCGACAGACCTAAACCCCGACAACCAACACCCCAGGAAAGCCAAAATCCAGGCAGCCAAAATACCGACAGGACAAAACACCGACAACCTAAACTCCGACAGGCCAAAATACCGACACCCAAAATCCTGAACGCCAAAATACTGAAAGATCTTGCCGGGATTTTGAGCATTTAAATTTCCATGTGCGAATTCATTCGATCGATCGATAAGTACGATATTTAAGCTTGTTTTTAGCCTTTAGCGAGTTCAACAAAAATCTAGTCGACCAACACCAAAAAATGTGCTTATCAATCACCAGCACTCCATTTTTGCGAGAACCCCAAATTTGCATAGAGTTTCCGCGAGGATTGCTCCATTTTTCGGGGTAATCGGCTTGGCTGGTCGACGTTCCGGGGGTCTAAGCTGGAGCGTGGGCATTTTTAGGACCGGAAATCGTACTTTACAAGCGATCTACCAAATTCGAAAAATATTAGCAAAGCCAAAAAACATTTAAGAAATGATAGAGAAAGCAAATAATTACCTATGATTTCCAAAAGTTATAAAAAAATCCAAAAACCTATCAGGGAATGCCTGGCAAGAAAGACGTTTTCGGGACTACGTTTTCCTAAAAACACGATTAAAATCGCCTTACTTGACTGATATGGATTTATAGCAAACTTCTCCCCCCACAAAATCTTCAATTTTTTTACCCAGTTTTCCACTTGAAAAATCATTCAATTTTCCTCAAAACACGATTAAAACCGTAACCCAGCCCTTTATCCATTAAAATAGTTTTCCACTAAACTCATCTACGCCTTATAGCACAACTAAACCCCTAAGCGCCTCGGACAACACCCCCGATAATGCAAAAGCTCCAAAAAATTCTTTGAATTGTTTCAAAGGCAAAAAAATTTTGTTTCAGCGCCCCCCCCCCACCCAAACATTCAAGATTGTGTACGACGATCAGGTGAGGGCCATGTCTCGGCGGGTTATGGAAAAACACAAAGTTAGGCATGGTGTTGGGAGGGGGTTGAATGGCTCGCCTATTCGACCCATATTTGCTCGATTTCACTCCCCTCCCGAATTTACAGGCAGTCGGCCACCAACATCCACAGTCCAGGGGGGCCGTAAATGGCCAAATAGCAGGCGTCCAAAAATATTTCTAAGGAATTGGAAAGGAAGAGGGGCCCAAAGAAGTGAAAGAGATTTCCGATCAGCTACTCAAGACATTTCTAGAATTTCTAGTTTAGTCCGAGAACGGTGGCCCGACATCGCGTTTTTCCCCCACACAAATGGAAGATTGATGCCAAAAAATTTGGGATAAATGAATTCTGGCCAGAATCCCGACAGTGGAAATCTGGTTGGCCCCGAATACCGACATGACTAATTACTGAGCGCCGAAACACCGACAACCAAAGTCCGGAAAGGCTGCTTTCGTTGTGCATGTCGGGATTTTGGTTGTCGGGATTTTAACATGTCGGTATTTTGGTGGTTACCTAAATCCATAGAAGTTACAACGCTATTAACGAGGGTATCACGATGTTTTCGGCAGCTCGAGAGTTGCTATTTTTAAACGGCAGCATAGAGGCTTCTAGCAATCAAATTAATAGGAAGGTGAGTGCTGGAAAATTGTGTTATTTCTTGAGAGAGAGAGAGAGAGAGAGAGAGAGAGAGAGAGAGAGAGAGAAAGAGAGAGAACGAGAGAAAGTTGAGATGAGAAATCGGGTGGGAGGCAGTAAGCCAAGGCTAAGGAAGCCTAAGCCAAGAGCGTAAGCCTAAACCTAAGCCTAAGCCCAACCCAAGCCTCTAATCGACCGCCTGGATCAATGAACCGCCGGT